TTAGGTTGACGAATAAGTGTCTTTTCAGAAAAGATTGATTCAAATTTGACAATACCAATCAGAATCTAGAATGTAAACAAATCATAAAAAATCGTTATTTTCATTGTTTTTCAGCACTATTTTCATTTATTTTTGTTATTTGACGCTATTTAGACGAATAAGCAAGTTTTCCGAAGCATAAAATTGAAGATTTTCCGCCAAAATAGAAACTTCCTGATAATATCGGAAATGACGTTCTAACATCATTTTATTTTATTTGATTCTTCAAAAAATCGTTATAATATTATGTATTAGACTTAGAATATTCGATATCTAAACCAGAAAGTGTTAGCTAGAAATAGACTTATTTATAGAACAACCCCCCCTTTCTCACTTCAGGGAAAGTTATAAAATAGTTGGGTGCTAATGACTCTGTGAAAGGGAAAAGTTCTACACTTAGAAACTTTGAAAAAAGGAATTTGGCCTGTACCGTCCGCGGGCCGCATAAACCTTGATAAGGGGCTGTATGTGGCCCGCGGGCCGCAGGTTGTGCACCCCTGATATATCATATACATATATATCTTGCACGCTTCTGGAGATTGATTGCACCATTTTTAGTTTTGTTGTGCAGTTAGTTATCCTTCACATGTGCTTGTGTAAAGTGGCTAATTGTTTTGTTATAAGTAGTTTACTCCCAGTGTAAATTGGAAATTCTACTTTATTTTACATTGATACATGATATTTTAGTCCCAAAATGGCTGGTAAAATTAATGAGAGACCAAAAAATTTGTACTGAAAGAAATGGCATCAGCTTTTAGCAAAATCAATGAGGCATTTAAAAAATTTGAAAATATGGACTCAGACAATGATAGATTTTCGAAGGCACAAAGCAACATTCACCAAGCACTTGCCTGTTATAGTGAAATTTATAATGAAAAGAAATAACAAACTGTCAAAACAAAATTGGACTTGTTTATAAAAACAAAAACCACTACTACTACATTTGCTGATAAATCTCAAGAGTTCAAGAGTCAGCAATGAATATCAGTAGCACAGATGATGACAATAATCCAGAATAATGCTTATATATATATATATGTTACCGCTAAAGCTCGAAATCCGTTAATGTGTACATTACCTAGCTAATCTGCAGATTAACTAGGGTGATCCGTTAAAGCTGCGAAAATTGTTCAATTTCTCAAATTACCTAGGTAATTTGCAGAGTATCTAGGTAATCTGCACATTAACGGCTTCCGTATCGTTAAAGTTCAAAAGTTTGTTTCTTTCACTTCCTTTCCCCACTCCTTCTTTTTACGTAGATAAATTTAAATCCTAGAATGCAAGAAAGCACCGAATTGGTGAGTAAAATCAAGAAAAGATTCTTCGCAAACCTCTTTAGCGAAGATTTAAAATATAATACGTAGTGTTTTAATAACAAACCAAAGTATGATTCCATAATTGAAGATGTAAAGCAAATAAAAGTTTCCAAGAAGAAAGAATCATCTCGAGATTATCAAATAATTCAAAGGTGTGATGTGTTGACTGTACGAGGCTGTGAAAAACTCATTGAGCCGTTGTCAGATGCGCGAGAAAGGTTTGAAAAAGTTTGTCCATGCCGGAGAATTGTTTGACATTCGATAAAAACTGAAGAAGACCTTGAAAAATTAGAAGATTCACAAGAGACTGTGATTATGAGATCACAGTCAAATCTTACTCAAGAGGACATTCCGTTATCCCCCGCTTCTACAGAATCACCTATAGAAATACAAGAATTTACCGATAGTAATCTTAAACTGCCTTCTATACCGTTGATTGATGATGCAGTCACGAAGAATATTCAGTTACCCTGCACCTCCAAGGAATCGCCTCTGCAAGTTGAAGAAGTCATCACTGAGTTACTCTCAACTTCAGCAGAATCGCCATCACAGTTTCGTACGGAGCCTGTAAAGAGCACTATACAAGACATAGTCTGTATTGTTTGCTCAAAAGCAGCATCAAGTGCTCACAAGTGTAAATCGTGTAATATGTTTGTTCACGCAGTTTGTGGTGAAGTAGATCCTAAAGAGGAAGGGTATGGTAAGAATGTATTGTGCATCATCTGTAAAAAGAATATGGATCAGAAAATACAGCGTGATGAAGCCAAGAAATGTTTAGAAAAGCAAGCAAAGAAAATGTTAGCAGTTTCTAATGCAAAGCACCCAAACGTCGATGAAGGTTTCGCTGTGAGAATTAAAGTACCCGAAGAAGACAGAGCAAAAACTGATGCACGTTCAATTTTAGCTGTGGTTCTTAGTAAAACAGAGGATGGCTTTTATAAACTTGATACTAAAACAGGTATTTTAAAACAATTGTATGCAAAATCTGAATTCAGTGTTTGCAAAGAGAGATTTTTAACGAAAGAAGATGGATGTCCCTGCTGTAGAAATATCTTTACGTCAAACAGCAATAAAACAATCCCTTGGTACTGGGCAGGGTTTCAGAAAATGTGACTGCAAATCTAAATGTACCACAAATAGGCGTGCTTGTCGCAAAAACCAATTGCTACGTAATTCAAAGTGTCACCAATCTTTAGATTGCACTAATAAGTAAGTACAATTTTATCATATGTTTTGCAAATTCATTTCCCTAATTGTAGTAATATTTTAAACCGTTTGATTTTTGTATTAAAGTTTTTTTAATTGATTGATGATTGATTCAATCAACTAATTTGTTGATTGTATTAACTTGATTCTTTAGATATTGAAAATTAAATAAATAACATTATGTTAATTTAAGCGTACAGAAACGTTGCTGTTGTTCCAGCAAAAATCTTATTTTCACTTTACCGAGTGCCTAGTAGGTAATTTGCAGATTACCTAGATAATCTGAACATTACCTAGGTAATTTGAGAAATGGAATAATTTTTGCAGCTTTAACGGATCACCCTAGTTAATCTGCAGATTAGCTAGGTAATGCACACATTAACAGATTTCGAGCTTTAGCGGTAACATATATACTATTATTTATGTATGTAATTATATACTTACATGTAGTTAACAATTAAAAAATCAGAAATGAAAGCTATTAATTTTGATGTCATACATATGTCTATTATAATTATATTATTTATTTTTGTATGAAATTCGACTTATGTTTGAAGTTGCAGAACCGAACCCTGTTCTAAGTCAAGAAGTGACTGTAATGAATTTCAACATTTTTATTTGAATTTATTAACGGATTAACTAATCAGCCAATGACAAAATAATATGCAATCTATTGTTTAAATGTGGTCAGGCTGGAAAATTTTGGACTTACTATGTAATATGCTTGTCACACTTGCAGAGTTGCATATTTGAATCTCATTTTGAGTTGATTTTTTTTAAATGCTTTTATTTAATAGTAAAAATATATTGAAGAATACAAATAAAATTTTGTCTTTACAATCTATTGTTTCACAGTCAACATTGACAGTCCAAAACAATTGCCATAATTAATTGGGCTATTAATATGCTATAATTAATAATTAGAAACTAAGTAATTTGGTACTAGAGGTAGACATTAGGCATCATCTTTTATCTAAATGAACAATTATAATTTATTAAATAATTTAGAACTGTCTGAAGAAAAGAACTAGCCCAGAGCGGGGCTTGAACCTGCAATCTCCACTTATGGTGCTGTGCACTTACCAGTTACACCATCTGGACCCTGAGCAGGTCTTCACTTCCAGACATGTTTAAATTTACATATAACCATTCACGGTTACTTACAACATCAGCTGGGGGCAACTTATTCACTGTGGCCTATGTACTCCACTATGAATATGTGAAATACATCTGGAATCGAAGACCTGCTTGGGGTCCAGATGGTATAACTAGCAAGTGCACCATATGGTAAGTGGAGGTTGCAATGTCAAGCTCCATTCTGGGCTAGTTTTTTCTTCCAGATGGTGCCTAATGTCTATCTCTAATACCAAATTACTTAGTTTCTAATTATTAATTATAGCATATTAATTAATTACAACAATTGTTTGGCTTGATATCAATACAGGAAGTTGTTATTTATGTACAGAGATAGTCTTTTGTTTGATCCTATGGTTTTTGTAAAAAAATAAAAGTTTGTCTTTGTAAGTGAAGTTTTACGTTCAAGAGCTCTCTTACTTACGAACTTTCAGATTTACAAACATTTTGACTGTGTGTAAAATTAAATTTTGTGCAAATTCTGATGTTCCATTGTCATATGTGAGGTGGCATCGAAGTCGGTAATGTTGGAGTAACAGCATTTTTTATCATTGTTTGTAATTTTTATAAACTTTTATGATTAGTACTTCAAAAATTCATCCAAAATGTAATTGTAAATCTAACAGTGGAGATAAATGCGAACAAAAAGTGTTGCTCTATTACCATGGAAACTAAACTTGATGATATAAAACTAAGTGCATTAGGTGGGGGAAAAAACCCTGTTTGAAACACTCACAGCTAAGCAGTAGCAACCAGATAAATGAGCATAATTTATTCTAGTAAATACATTGAAGGATCAAACACTAACAATGTGTGGTTATTCTATATAAATGACTTTCTGGGTTGGTTTTTGACTTATGACAAAATCTCAGGTACTGTACCTAACCTGTTTGTAAGGGAGCACCTGTCTTTTGGATTATCACTGGTGACTGTGAAATGACGGATGGTGAAAACAAAATTTTATTTGTATTCTTCAATTCATGTTTACTATATAAATTACCATATTTTTTAATGAGCTTTTATTTAACTTTCTTTGTATCATGTCCTCAAGTCTTTCAATTCAAATTTTATCCAATTAACATAGAAGGCTGAAACTTTGAGAAGATACCTGTCTGATGACAATGCATTTTAAAGTTGTTTTAGGGAATGGTTTGCATAATAATAAAAGCCTCTAATGCTGAATCTTTTTTATAAGTACTTTTATTCACTTCTAATGAATTTGTTCTCAAAACTTAATTCTTAATTTATGTATTTAAATTGCATTAAATAAGAATATAATTTGTTTAATTAAAATTTTGTTTTCAGATGCAGTAACATTGTGGTATCAATATGCATTGCGAGTATTAGGCAGGTAAGTAAGATTAATAAATTTTTAAAATTATAGAAGTATTCTTAATAAAATTTAAAGTTTTAATAGTAAATTATCTGTGAAAATTTTATCACTGATACATCAATAAGAAAAAAAAATGAAATTCTACAAATTTGTGATATTTTATTGTTAACAATAATTTTAGTTTACAACTCAGAAATGTGGAAAGTGTTCAATGGCAATTATGAACTTAAATATCACTGTATCAATATTTATGAGTTTTGTATTCTGTAAAATTTTGCAAATCTAGAAAATAGGAAATTTTATAGATTTGAGAGGAAACAATCTATTATTATTTATTGATGACAAAATTTAAAATGATGTGTAGAAATAAAAAATTTTCTTTACCAACAGTTAACCATTTTAGTTTGTTCTAATTTCTTTTGTATGATAAGATTAAAAGTTTCATATTTTTAGTGTTTTAGAAGGGGTTCTCTCTCTCTCATCTGATCATTATTTGCATTAATTTTGATTAATCCTTCTATTCCTTCTGATAGATTTTGATATGATTGAATTAATGATCATTTTAAATTATTAATTTTTTTCCAATTTAATTACTTTTGCTATATTTTTCATTAAAATATGAAGTTTAGAAGTATAAATGTAGTCTGAATAAAATCAATATTAAATTAGTTTAATTTTAACATAAATACTATAATTATACATCTATATATATAAAATTGCTTGTCCTGACTGACTGAATGACTCACTGATTCATCATCGCCCAGAGCAAACCGTTGAACCTAAAGAGGTGAAATTTGGTACACAGTTAGGGTACATCATGAAAACGCACACTAAGAAGGAATTTTTAGAAATTTTCCCATGGGGAGAGGGAGAGCATTAAGGCTTAACCAGAAGAACAGCTTCTACTGTACTATTTTAGATGCGATTTTTTGTTTTTATCTGCGTTTTAGTAGGGTATGCCATGGCAATACACACTAAGAAGGGATTTTTCGAAATTCCCCCTCAGGGAAAGGGAGAGGATTTAGTCTTCATCAAGTACTTAGGTGTATTAAATTAATAACATTTCAGACATTGTTATAAATATTTTTATCTACTTCGATTTTAAAAATGTTTGAATCATTTTAAATTTGAATTTGTTATTGCATATTGGTTTGATTATAGAACGATTGTAAATGTTCCAGAAAATTGATCAAATTGAAAATAGTTCGTTTGATTCTCGGCAATTCTCATCATTCTCAGCAGTAGGTGTTATATAACAATTACTATGGTTGTTGAAATACTGTATATAAATGGGGTTTGCTTGCAAAATCCTTGCAGGCAAAGTTGCAGGTAACAGCTAGTACTGTATATATATATACATATATTAACTTAAATTGATTTTAATTTCACTGTAATTATATATGGTTGCTATTTTATGATTTTATTTTTATTGGAGTGTTGCAGTTCTACAGTGCTTAAACTACCACTGTTTATTATATTTTTATAATACACCAGTTTCCATAAATTAAGGAACAAATGAAAAATTACAGTTTATATGGGTAACTACACCCAGTATGTATGAAACTGGGATATGTTTTGGACAAAGGTATGTAGAACTTGTGTTCAGAATGCAAATAAGTTACACTTGCATTGATTTATGCAAGTTTGCAAGAGCATAAAATTTGCTGTTTTTTAGTAAATTCCTATTTGTGTTTGATAAAAGAAAAGATTTTGAAATAATCATTTTGTTAAAATGACTTGGAGTCATCATTTATCAGTGGAATTATGCTACAGAGCTACTGGAAGACTCAAAACAAAGCTAACAAAGTCATGCAGATGTTGCAAGATGGTTAAATTTAAATTGATTTGTGGTCTACGAGATGTGAAAACAGTTATAAACTATAGGATCAGCTTTCCAAAGATATTGCTAATGTAGATCTAAAGCAACAATATTTTCAGAAGATTACTATTTGTGGCTATCTGCTCACCTGAATAAGACTGCAATTTGGACTCACCTGAGATCTGTGCTTGCTATGGGTACAGAAAAATAGTATCAACTCTTATGGAACACAGAAGACATGAAGGAGGTCTATGGATAGACAGTTAGTAATATGCATGACCCTAACTGCCACAGGAGGGAATATAGTATTTGAATTGGTATGCATGCATATGAACTGAAGTCTTAAATTACTGGAGGCATGTAATTTTTATGGATGGTTCAAGATATGCTTTACAGACTGTTTTGTGATGGAGTCTTCATCTGGATAGAGTCAAGGACCTGATATCATTTCTCTCATATCCATAGTAGAAATAGTGTGCTAGTATGGGAAGGTATCTCTTTAGGTGGATATACCAACCTCTAAGTCTTGTCACATGGAAATTTGACTACTAAAGAGATACAGGATGATATCTTGTACTTCTTTATTATCTGTATGCAGCCACAATTGGCAATTTATATTGCAAGCTGATAAATGCTTGTCCTCACATACCTCACCTGTACAGCAATATCTTGAAGAGGTGACTGTTGTCTGTCTGTATGGAATGTCTAGTATATTCTCTCAACCTGAACTTCATCAAGCCTGTCAAATATTCTTGGTAAATGTGTTGCTGCCCTTCATATTCCTCCTAAATACTGCAGGAATTTCAACTGCAGTATTTAGGAGGAATAATTTTTGTTTTATATTAATTTAAATGTATTGATACTAATACTAAAAGGTTATACTTTCAGCTCTTAATAGCTAAATATTTTGTTCTGTTTCTTTATTGATATTTTCAACTTTGCATTACACAATTTTAGAATCTTAAAAACAGAAATATGTCAACAAAGTACAAATTTGAGACATTTGATTTTATTTTTAACTGTTCTAACAATTAAGGACTGTAATGATAGGAATCTGTAAAATTAAAAAATAATAACTTTTTTATATGTAATGTAATCAGAAAAAGTTTACTTTTATTTAAAATATATTTAAGACTTAAATAATTTTAACATTTAAATTTTGCTACATTCCTTTTGAATGCTCTTCATAAGATTTTTGACAGTATCAATCATTATGACTGCTCTTTTCCACTTTAGAGAAAAATCTTTACTGTCTTTTGCTGTTTGTTCTGTTTTTATAGTTTATTTTTTGCAAGAGATGTTTTGCTGTTTCTATTGGTTGGCATTGTATATGTTTGATGAATTTGTCTCTCTAGGTACTGCTGTTCCAGCCAACTTACTGCAGATTTTGCGAATTATATCGTTGCCAAATCTGGCCAAAACAAAGTATGACTGCCATGATTTCTTAAAAGAGGAAGAAGTTTTATAAAATGTTCATAATATAAATTTCAGCACTAATATTTCTTTTTGTCACAAATGAACTTTTCAATCCACATTGGCAAATTGCTTTCCATACCAGATATTTGAGTCAAACTTTTTGACACTGATTGATGTTTGAGATTCTGGAAGAACATTTTCTTCAAATGTTCTATAATAGCTTGAGTCTGGAAGTGTTGAGAAGTCAACCTTTGCATATGTTTTGTCATCTAAAACCAAACAAGTATTCTTCTTGCCAGTTAAAGAATACAATTTTCAAATTCTAGTTTTAATTACCTTCTTTTGCTTTTCAATCACTTTAGGTATTTTTGTTTTTATATGATCTCATACTTCCATACTGCTTAACCACTCAGCAGTGAGCAACGACTATAGTCATCAAGGGTGATCGTGTGGCAGTGGTGAGGGACGACTATAGTCGTCAAATTCTTTTGGGGTATTGCAAAAAACTAGCTTAAAATTACCGTGAAAAAATTCACATAAAAAATGAATTATGTAACGATAAAAAAAGACTTCTTTACAAGACATAACTGTTTACAAAATATTTTTCCGAAACAGTAATGAGAAAAAAACGCGTGCAAAAATACTTTAAAAATTTTCCACATTTATTCTCCACTACTGGGATAGAACCATACCCAACTAGTCCACTGTTGAAAGTTTAACCCTTTGAACCATAGTTTGATTAGTTTCACATTTTTTTGCAACATCGCTCACTGATATACTGCAATTTTTGGAAATGACTGATTATCTTCTAATTGAGTTGTGAGTCAAGAGCATGATATTTTCAACCAGAACCTTGCTTTCAAGAAATGACATTGTCTTACAATACCAATTTAACACTCCATCCACTGTACTTCAGAAAATTTGTAGCTCTTTTGTTATGAAATGTCTTAATACTTCAGCTGTTTATCAACAATTGCTTTTCAACAGTCTATTTCATTCATTATTTACAGCAATAGCACAGTTACTTTAATAAAACTGATAACAGAATTATTTTTCTAATTATTTGAAATTATTGCTATAGCAACAAACTGAATTATAAATAACTAGCTGTTATCCATGATTTCGCCCGTGGGGGTTTTGCAAGCAAACCCCATTTACATTCACTATTTTGTGAGGTAGCAGAAATTCCTATATTCGAACTAGACTTTAATATTAACATTGTTCGAGAGACGTAACGATTGTTGTTCGTAGCTACCTGAGAAAGTCTCCCATTACATTTTCTCGAAGGCAACATGACGCTTTATCGTGAACTATTAACCTCTGAATATTGCCAGAGATGGCCGAAAAGTGTCAGTCGCCGTTTTAGTCCTTGGAGAGGAAAGAAGTCGTCGCCCATTCCATAGGATAACCTTTATCACCAACCATTTTTTTGTGTTAGTGCACGATGGAGCTTGGATATTTCAACAGGACATTTTGACTGGATATTTCACCCTTGGACAAATCCTGGAAAAGCCTATAAGAAGAACTATTACCTGGTTCTCCGATTTGATACAACTCTGATCGGGATATCTATTACCAAAGGTATTTATCACCACACGAACCTTAAGTGAACTCTCTCTCTCTCCACGACAAAACTTTAGAACCTCTGTATCTTATCCAATTTATTTTTAATTAAATCCTTGTTAAGTGTAAGTGTAGTTCGAGTCTCTTCCACATGCTGATTGGCTGACATTACGAATCCGTCTGTCCACTTACGTGACCGCTCGTGCGATGGTGTGACGTAGTAATTGCCGTCTCGGCTTCTGTGTTCTGATAAACGTGGTGTCAGTCCTGACAGGGCACTAAAGAGGTGCCGACCCGAAAGGTCACAATTTGAACAACCATAGTAATTCTTATATAACACCTACTGCTGAGAATAAAGAGAATTGCTGAGAATCAAACAAACTATTTTCAATTTGATCAACTTTCTGGAACATTTACAGTCATTCTATAATCGAACCAATATGCAATAACAAATTCGAATTTAAAACAGTTCGAACATTTGGTTAAAAAATCAAAATATATGAAAATATTTATAACAATGTCTTAAATGTTAACAGTTTAATACACCTAAGTACTCAATGAAGACTAAACGTAGTTGAAAACAAAAAATCACATCTAAAATAGTACAATAGTAGAAGCCGTTCTTCCGGTTAAGCCTTAATGCTCTCCCTTTCCCCCCACAGGGGAATTTCAAAAAAATCCCTTCTTAGTGTGCGTTTCCATGACGTACCCTAATCATTTACCAAATTTCACCTCTTTAGGTTCAGCAGTTACCCTAGGCGATGATGAATCAATCAGTGAGGACAAGTAATTTTATATATTTAGATAAACAAAAGAGTTAATGTTGCTTGAATTTTACAGATTTCTATTGTTACAGTCCTTACATTTTCATCTAAGTAATTGTATAACTCATGAAATACTGTATTTTATATTTAAAATTATTAATTTTACAAAAATTTAGAAAGCTTGACTAGCTTTATTGTATAAATATTTTAAATTTATTATTAAATGTTAGTTATGCTATATTTATTTAGGTAGGTATTAAAATGATATTTATTTCATTTCAAAATTACTTTTTCAGTTCTTCATCTTTAAATGAAAATGATGAATTTCAAATTGCAGAAAAAATTAAAAAGAAATGTAAGTCTTCCTTGTAAAAAAAATTATATATTGATAGAAAAATCTGATATTGCTTCACAAAAATTTATGAGAGTAGTGTGATTGAATTTACATTTTATGCTATTTAATATATTATAAAATATGTTCATAAAATTATTTTTATATCTATATTAACATATAAAGCAAGAATATTTGTTTGTTTGTTTGCTGGAGGTAATCCCAGAATTTATTGAATCAATTTTTAAAATGCTTTCACTATTGGAAAGTTTATTCCTTTCAGATGAAAATAGGCTATATACTATTTTCATATTAAAAAAGGAAAAGACATGAGAAAGATGTTTTTACTATGGCATTTATCTCAGATCATTGTTTGTATGCTCCATTCAAGGTCAGCCCTCTTCACCACCTGGTAGTCTTTTTTAAACTTATCTTATCCATTTGGTTTCAGTTTTGATTTGTGCAGTTTGGATAGTTGTGTATATACTTTGTTTATATTGTCTTGGTTGTTTGTTTCTTATAATAATAATCTTATGTTATCAGATAGTAATCAGATAATAGAAGAAAAATCTTGTATTTTCTGAATATATAAAAAAAGGTTTTTTAGAAGTTGATCTTAAAAAAAACAGTCAAAATATATTTGCATTAGATGTTAACAACACAAATACTAAATATTAAATAGAGCACAGAACAAAAACTTTTTTAAATAAAATTTCTTCTGACGTTAAATATTCTGAGAATTACATATAAATCCACTAAAAGATCTATATTTTCTATTTGTTTAATCTAAAATTACTATATGTTTTTTACATTATATTCAAGTAACAGTCATTGCAATCATATAATCATTAGTGTTGCAACGAATAGTATATTCGGCCTCAGGCCGAATACCGAATATTCGGCCAGGAGCGTGGTCGAATAGCCGAATATTCAACCAAACTATTTGGCTTGATTAACGCATGTACGAAAATTGGCGCGCAAACCACATTATGGCAAGGACCCTGCTCTCTATTGGCCCACTGTCACTACGCTTCGCCAATCGCGTTAATTCTTGACAGTTCAGACAAGAGTGTCATGGCAGTATGATAAGTGATGATATCAAATCCGGATAACAATGAAATGACCTACATGTGCAAATAACGGAAGAAGAACATGTAAAGTACTATATTATTTTTCCGACTTTTCAAACAATTATCGACACGACTATGTGCTGGAAATAGCCATTCCCTAACGGGTACTTTACGCGGATTCGTGTTAGTGTGCCAGGCCTGGACTTTAAGCATGCACCGAATTAAATAATGACCAAGTTTGTCAATAACAAATCAAATATTTAATAAAAGTTCTAGTAATAAACTATATACAAAATTTAGTAAAATTCAAATAACAATTTATTCAATGAAAGTCAATAAGAATCAACCCGACAAAACTCAAATCAATCTATTTTCTAACTTAATTCTATTCCCCTTTGGAATTCGACAAAATTTCAAAGACTTAATTTATATACAATAATTCTTATGAATTAAAGATCCTAATCGTCACTCAATATACTAGGAACCCTTTTCCTCAACTCTCAAGACTTTCTCTAATCTTCGATCCACAAATCGAATAACTTCAAAAGCGCCTTGGAACTATTTTATCCTATCGGACACCTCTCTTTCATTTGCTGCTACTACGAAGCTCACCAAGCTCGTTGATAACAGAAGCTCACCTTGACCATCTTCACTTGAGATTCGGACTCTATACTGTGAGGTGACGTCACAACTCTGAATGCGATCACTCCCCTCATTTACATACTTATTTGCTAACAAACTTTTCTATTTATCTGGCAGCCTGTTTTCCGACAATACTCGCTAACCTTTTACATTATTCTTTTTGACAATTTTTGGGATGTTTTTATTTTTTAAGGTTTAGCAAGGCCCTAAGTTAGGCTTGTGGGGTCTCCCCCCTTTTCTCAGTGCAGGCTTACTTTTTTTTTCTGCTCGGGAGTGATAGTGTGCACGAGATTTTTCTACAGCACTTTTCTCTCATCAGTGAGTTGGTTTCTCTTCTATTTTTAAGTTTCTAAGGTGAATGGTGAGGAAACCTTCGTCCTAACAGAACATAAGCCCCAAACAAAAGTATAATAAAAAGCAAAAATAAAAGTAAATAAAAAATAATGCTTGGACTTGGTTCCTTACAAACAGAGAAGGACCGCAAAGTGAAAATGTGAAAATAAATATGAAATTGAGTTGATAACATAATCAAACAAGTCGATTATGTTATCAACTCAATAAGCTGCTTCGAGCAAGTCGAGGCAGCTTATTTGCGTGAAATTCGCGGCCGTGAATGCCAAATAATTGTTGTCATAGACTTCAAAAAGCTAAATACTTGTAATGAAAGTCACTTAACGTGCACGAGCGAAAGCCTGGGGTCGTTCGGGCTACTGAGCTGTTTCGAATCTGTGAAATCATAACTGTGACTTTTTCCGACGTCCTATCTGTCTCTTTTTTCCGTTATCACCAGGCTATGAGTCACGTAATTGTAAAATGGGAAATCTATGACGGAAAAGTGACGAATCGAAAGCATTGTGAGGGCGTATTATGATGTATGCATAGGCATACGTGGACTAGGGCGATAGGGGAAAGAGAAAGGGAAGAGCAAAGACGAGCGCTTAAAAAGAAGGATAGGCAGGGTCAGACCCTCAGATGTACGACGATTCTCGAACAAATAGGTGTGTATGTGTGCTGATCTTTGTAATTATAAATTATGAATACAAGTGACTAATATTATGTTCTTTTTTATTTTGTGCATATTATAAGTTATAAATAAATATAAACAAACAACACTACCCGATAACATTACATTTAAATACCAAAATGATTAATTTACTGTGTTTTTGTTATTTTTTACTCCTGTTTTTAGGTATTCGGTATTTGGCCAAATAGTAACCAAATATTCATTTTATCACTAATAATCATATAATGACTTTTCTTAAAATCTGCACTTAATAGACATTGAAAGTTTAATTATGGCAAAATATTATGCAATTTTCAGTTATGATACTTCTATTTAATGTGTCATATTGAGAGTTAATGAGTATTGAATAGCTGAAAAAAATGTATATTGATGATGATTGATCTTTTATGAAATATAAAGTTCCATATATTAATTTGTCTAGATCAGTTAAGATTTGTAAATCCTGAATGCTAATCTTTCCAGAACACAGCTTTTTAAATATCACTACATCTAGGATTATAGAATTTGGCAAGATATATAAATCCTTTAATCCTGAATGGAGTAAGTTGTTATGTATTATAGAGTTATTGATGAAAATTTAACATATTATTTTATTTTTAAACAAAAATTACTACAAATTTTATTACAAATATATTCATTGAATGGTTGTGATTGATTAAATTTATATTTTCTGCTATGTAACATATTTTGCAGGATATATTAAAAATTTAAAGATGCAAAATATTTTTGCATCTTAAAATTTCCTGTAAACATTTGATAAAGTAATTGTTTAAATTAGCAGATACAAATAATATTTTATTATTATTAAGATTTTTGCAAAATTGTATTCAGTTAAATAAGAATTTAGAGGTAAGTGTATCTATTTAATAATTATTATTTATGTAATAATTAAATTATTCAAATATTATCAACATAAAATGAATTTATAGATAATAAGGGCTTATTAGAATTAAAGTATAATTTATACACTTTTTTTTATTCTAGTGGCTAAAGAAAGGAGAGAGAAAGATTCAGTTTTGTTTGGAGAATTGCACAAAAAACTTCAAACAAGTGTAAGAATTCATTTTTTTTTTCTTTAACTTAGTTTTCTTAAAAGTTTTTTAATGAAAATAAAAAATTAAACAAATTGTATTAAAGAAATAGAAGATATTTAGATATATTTATTAAAATGCATTACTTTTATTTATGGTAATAATAAAATTTGTAATATTTCGATTTATTTTTAAACAAGCATGAATTTCTGTTATGCAAAAGCTCATGTGGATTATAAATTAATATTTTATTAATAAATAGGATATATAGGTACAATTATTATGTTTGTTTTTACTAAGTTTTATCTCAAATTATTTGATTTATATGATGATAGAATTTTATTTTTAAAAACATAAAATGAAAGATTTTCAATAAAGCAGGTTTGCCTGGTATTTCAAATAATTAGGTTAATATATGTTTTTTTAGTTAGTTATAATTTGCATTTTAAGATGTATAGCTTTAATTGGTAAAAACAGTGAAAAAGAATCCTCACATTTTGATAAGATTGATTTAACTTTCTAGTCATTGATAGAAATGTGAAAATAGATTTACAAAAATGTTCAAATCCTATAGTTTTCATTTAATCATTTATTGGAACTTATCTGGTTTACAAAACATCAGTTTTTGTACTACAAATATAAGCTTAATGTTAGCTTTCTACAGCCAGATTTATTATACTATTAAGAATACAGATATGAGCAATAGACAGCTTGTATATTTGTACAGTGGTACCTCAGGATACGAAATTAATTCGTTCCGAAACTAAGATTATATCATGAAAATGTCATAAGGTGAATCATTTTTTTCCATACAATTACATGTAAAACCAAATAATCCATTTCGACATGAAAAACACACACAAATTAAAGCTAAGTAGTACATTAAAAAAATAATAACTTTAGTAAAGAAAACACTGAAAAATGCATTTTGTAGTTGTAAATGTATAAATAACCATAATAGAATAATAATTGATTTTAAAAAATGTAGTTTTATTTGCACTTTACCTTTGAGGATAGACGACGGTGGAGGTGTAAACTGGTGGCGGAAGAGAGGGAGAAGGGAAATGATACTAAAACTTAACTTACATAACATAATGTAACAATAATTTAAAAATAACTTAGAAAAGATAAAAAAAAAATTAGTGTTGTTTTATATATATATTTTTTAATTTTTATGCACTGCTTTTTGCTTTCTTTCCTTCACTTCCACCAGCACTTTCACTGGATAGAGGTCACTTGGTAAAATATCTATCTAAAGAGGTTTGGCTTTGCCTACTTTTTTAAATGTTTCTAAAATGAATTAGGCAAATGTCATTACTCTGAACAGCAATATGGCCAGTGTGAACCTTTTCGGGATGTTTCTTTTCAATAAAATCAGTCACTTTCTGATAATACCTCAAGATTTCCTTTATCGAGCGAGATCCTTCCATGATGAGCAAACACGTGGACTGAGACCAATGAACAGAAGTGAATAAAACAATTGTGCTGCAAACTAATGTAATGTCGTATGGTGAGTTTTTATTTGTATCGTGGAGCAAAAATATGTTCGAATTTCGTGTCGTATCCTGAAAATTTCGTATGCTTGGGGTGTTCGTATCCTGAGGTACCACTGTTGTTTAATACAGACAGGTAGTGTGCTCTAGTGTCAGTTTTTATACTTATTTATTTCATAAAAACTAAATATAGCTGATCTAGAAATGCCAAATTTCAAGTATAACAGTAAAACTACTACGGTTATGTTTTGCTCTAATTTTTATATGAAAGTTGAGATAAATGATGGGGGATTTTGTAATTTAAAACTGTGTAAAGTTTAAGAATTCTTATAAATTTCTCAAAAACTAGATAATGCTTTCGACTCAATGTGAGTAAACAAATAAAACATCTTAAAAATTATTATTTCTGGTTGTGGGACAGTTTTATCAGGTCTAGACTTTATAGGTTGAACCAAGATATTTAAAATATGTTAATACTTTATCATAATGTAATAAATATTATTATAACTTTGAAATACATGATATCTGGTTTAAAATGTAAATGAAACAGTTATTATAAAATATAAATTGTTAGATATTTATTTACAGTATATTATAATTTATAGGCTGTACTGAAGAATCGTTGTGCTGTTTTATCTCTCCTTTTGAATCTTAGTAACACAAAAAATGATGGCTCTGCAAAGGTATAAATTTCATTGCTTAATACTTAATGTTAAAATCAATAAATATATTTATACAAACATTTTTATTTATTATTAGTTTTTCTGTTAATTATATTAAATATTATCAAATAAATTATTAAATATGAATTTACTATTATTATTAATTCATACTTTTTGATTTATTAAATATGTCTTTAGAAGAAAATGCATTTGTTTTATATAAATCAGTAATGTGATTGATGTGATTTACATATAATTAAATATAAGCATATGTAATGTATATAAGCATAAATATGACATTACGACCCTATATACCCAGGATGGCCAAGTTCCTTGATAAACCGAGCCATTTTTCAAAATTTGAAATTTTTCGTGAGCCGCAATTAAATACGTATTAAAAAGGTATCAAAAAATTCCAGATTACCAATTAAATCCGTAGCAAGAGTGATACAGATTGTTTCCTCCAGAACACAATGTCAACTGTCCATTGCAATGACAGTTTACAAATTCACTATCGGTCTGGAGTCAGTCGATAACGGACGATTACGCCACTGTTTATGTTCGTTCGCGCAGTTTTCGATGAGTCATATCATTCTTAACTTGGACGGAAATGAAATTTGTTACAACGTTGCACTTAGTCTTTTATATTTGTTGTTAGTAATTTAAAAGACATTTTGAAACACATACAGAACGATAATAATTTTTTAAAATATAATAACACAAAAATGAAAACGGAACTCGAGTACATTTATCGGGAGCCACAAATAATCCTTCAAAGAGCCGCAGGTTGGCCACCCCTGCTATAGACCATGGTTCTCAAAGTGTGCCCTAGAAGATTTCCAGGTGCACCCTATGGTATTCCAAAGAAATATGTGCCCAGATATAAAAATAAATATAGTTATTCTATTATACCATTTCATTATGGAAATACTGCTCTTTTTGTTAACATATCATTATATGATATTATCTATATACATATAAGCCATTGATCCCTCTGTTTGTATAACTGTCACAGAATGCCTAGAACGCCCTCTAAGGGCGGCCCTAGCGATGATTTTCAGCTATTATTTAAATTAACAGTATATTATTATTTTTATATGTAATAGAAATTTATTATTATTGATGTGAATTTATTATTTATACCACGGAATAACATCGCTACTGCTAGAATGCTTACTAGGAGGAGTCCTGGGCTATCTTGCTTTTAGATAAATACATCCAAATAAAATGGATAGATTTCTCAAAAAGAAGTGTGATATTGAAGAATCCGATTCAAGAAGTGAACAAAAGTTAAGTTCAAGTAAGAAAGCAAAATCGCGGCCTACTTGCAAATATAATGAAAGTTATTTAAGCTTTGGTTTCACTTGGACCAGAAGTGAAGATCATCCTTTACTGCTGTGTTTAGTATGTGGATGTAAAATGGCAAATGAATCATTGCTTCCTAGTAATTGAGTAAACATTTTAAAACTATACACTCTTAAAAAAACTTACAGATTTATCTTGTAAATCAGAGATTGTCTGAACTGCAAACAAAAGCAGCAAATTTTTTAAAAAGTATAATGACTGTTTCTGATAAAGCTCAAATCGCTTCTTATCAAGTCTCAGAACTGAAGCAAAAAATATGAAAGCTCATACTTTAGGTGCGTCACTTATTTTGCCTGCATGCAAAAAAATGGTCATGACAATGCTGGGAAATGAAGCAGCAATGAAAATAAGCAAGATTCTTCTGTCCAAAATACAGTTCACAGGCATATTATAGAAATGTCTTCTGATATTGAGAAAATGTATGCAGTAATAAGCTTCAGTATTCAAATTTTGCATTGCAAGTTGATGAGTCAATAGACATTACCAACACGGTGCAACTCTTAGCATTCGTCTGTTTTATTAATGAAGATCAAATAGTAAATCAGTTTCTTTTTTGCATAAAAGTAAGTGTGTCTACAAAAGGTGAAGACATTTTTAACATTTTGAATAATTATCTTGATAAATGGTAGTTAACATGGAAGTCGTGTGTAAGCATTTGTACAGATGGTGCCCTTTCCATGGTAGGTTGTGTTAAGGGTCTTACATCTTTTGTAAAAAAAAAAACAAAATGAGAATGTTATCGTAACTCACTGCTTTCTTCGTAGAGAGGTCTTGATGGCAAAAACATTGAGAGAAAAATTAAGAGAAGTTTTAGATCAAATTGTTTAGATGGTAAACTTTATTAAAAGAAGACCTGTCAAATCATGTTTATTCAAAAAGCCTTGTATCAATATGTATTCACAACACAGATGGCTGCTTTTACACTGAGGTGAGCTTGTTGTCAAGGGGAAAAGTACTTACTTGTGTACACAAGCTATGGCAAGAACTTCTTGCATTTTTTGAAGAGATGAAACAGTTACATTTTTGTAACCTCATTTGGTGCAAATTTTGGATTTCCAGGTTACAGTGTTTGGCTGATATATTTCAGCAGCTCAATATTTTGAATACTAGCATGCAAGGGAAAGAAGAAAATATTCTCACATCCACTGACAAAATGAAAGCATTTCAGAGAAAACTACAGATTTGGAAAAGAAAGGCTGTTGAAGGTAGTTTGGAAATACAGTAGAGCATCGTTTATCTGAAAGCCGGTTAACCGAAAGCATTTCAGTCGGCAAATTTAAATTTTTGCTAGTGCTGTGACACTGCAATCTTTGGCTATATCTTGGGCTACTCCAAAATTTTTTTTTTTGGTGTGTGTGTTTTAGCTGGCAGCCCTGGCATTTTTGTGTGGTGTTTTTCTGAGGACTGTGTGTCGTGCTGAATCAAACATTTTTGATATTAGATCAACTTCTAAAGTGTATATTTTTTTGGTTTTTATATTTTTCAATATATTTATTTTGTTTGTAAAAAATAAAGAAATAATTTTTAACGATACAATAGCCACGATTATTATTTAAAAAGTTTATGTTAGACTTAACATCGACGAAAACTCAATGCGAAGCGACACATAACGGAGACAAATTTCAACATGGGATAGGTTAATATATTTTTTCGTACATAATCGATTATCCGAAAAATAAGTTATCCGAACAACCCAAGTCCCCAATTGATTCAGATAAATAACGCTATACTGTATTTCCATTGGTAAATAACATTTGCATAAATGAAACACTTCCAATAATAGTTAAACATTTAATAAATTTAGAAGAAAAATTGGGTTCTTATTTTCCATCACTTAACACTGAACAATATGATTGGATTAGAAACCCATTCAGGGTAGCTTCAAGTGATTTTAGTTTAACATTATCAGAAGAAGAAGAACTGGCAGCTATATCCACTGATTGTGGATTGATAATTAAACATAAGGAATTGTCTCTTGAAGCCTTTTGGATTTCTATAAAAGAATATATGGCAATATCTAAAAAAGTTTTGAACATTTTACTACAATTTTCAACATCCTATTTAGGTGAATTAGGATTTTCTACCCTCAACACAATTAAGAGTAAAAAGACAGGAAATCTTCAATGTATTGACGATTTGATGAAATGAGAGTTTGCGTTTCAAATATATGTCCAAACATTGAAGAAATTGCTAGGACACATCAGGATCATGTTTCTCATAAACACAAGAATGAAAAAACTTAACACATTCGTGCCAGGACCTGCCAAATTTACTAAATCTTACTAAGAATGAATCTATATAAAATAATAACTTTTTTGTTATTTTTTTAAAATTTTTTAGTCCCTTTATTTATGAATTCTAAAAAGCATAACTTAAAAAATGTAAAATAAAAATGTTTATTAATGTGAGAATAAACTTAATTTTGTCATATTTATTTTGTTTAATTACCATAAAGCACGTTTGGACTTTATATATTTTTTCTTTAATATTTGATTTAATTATTATAACATATTTCTTAGAAATTTGTATACAGTGCACCTACAACTCTTGTAGGATTTTAAATGCACCCCAACTTCAAAAAGTTAGAGAACCACTGCTATAGACACATGACACACATGAACTGGCACTCTCGCTCATGTAACATCCCTTGACCCATTTCACCATTGGTCCAGTCTGTGACAAATATAATTAAAGATTATTAATAATTGAATTTCAGACTTTTTTAATTATTATATGTTATTGCATGCATTTTTTAGTATACTTTTGTATACATCTTTTATTTCTTTTTCCTTACATAAACTTTACATTTATAGATTACAAAACAAATGTGACTAAGATGAGGAAAATTATTCTTAAAAAGTTAGCATGAAATATAAGTTTATAGCTGTATAGATCCGTATTAGAATTTTATTCATACAGTAATTTTTAAGAGCAACTTGAAACAAGACAATTTAGTATAATAGATTAGATATTGCAGTGTTATGCTATATAACAAATCAGTTTAATTAATGTTGATTAATAACGAACATAAAATAATGTTAGGTAATTATTTCTAACAGAAATAATTTTTATAGTCTGAAAGCTTGTCTGAAATTCAATAATTTCAGACAAGCTTTCAGACTATACTAATTATAAAAAATATCTGATAAATAGATTCTACATTGAAGTCAAAAGTTTTTATCACAAAGTAATTGCAGCTCAGCTGTTTTCTTTACAATTGATATTTCTAAGATTGATCTGTCTGAGAACATATACAGAGGGCAGTAAAAACCAATAATAATTTAGATATTGGTAAAATACTAGAAAAAAATTCATACTTGTATATCAGACAACAAAAATTCATTCTGATGAATAAGAAAAATATTCAGCAGTATAAAAACTTATAATTAGCATTTGCCCAATTTGAGTAGTTGATTCCTGATTAATCTGTGAACACAAGATAACTTTTTACACCATAATAATTAGAATACAGTCGACCTCTCTATAACACTATTGATAATTCCATTTTATATGAATTCCATGTTGTACGAGTCATTTAGATTTTACAAATACGTGAGCTGGGCTGTGAACGGCTCACATATTTGTAAGGTTGACTGTAATTTATTGTCCCATAATAAAAAAAAAAGTAATTTGTAACCATTCATCTTTTATAAATACTTTAAATTTCTGAAAATTTTCATTATAAAACAATAATAATTAAAAATTATTGACAAGTAATTTGCAAAATTATTTTTCAGTAAGTTCTTTTATTGATTAATAAAAACTTAACAATTTATCTGTTGATTATCTATTGGATTATATTTCAGGCTAATAACTAATTAGATACAAATAAATTTGATTAGAGATAGATGGCTTAACTGCCTACCTCTTGATAAATTTAATAATTAAAATTAAATTTATTTGAATTTTAGAATAGTTTGAAAGAAAAGAAATGGCCTGGAGTTGGACTCAAACCTGCAGCTCCAGTTTGCTTTTATTTCTAATCATTAAATTAACCTTGTTACAACCTAGTAAATAATCCAGATTTTTGTTTGACATATCTAGTAGAATTGTGTTGTTCTAAGTAATTTAATGTTAAATATATAAATTTTTGATAATAGAATTATAACTATAAGAGAGGTATATTTAATATTAAATGAAAAATTATTCTAATGAGCCATCTAGAAAGTTCATAGCAATTTGGAGCTGCTGTTGGACAATCTGCATTTTTGTACCCTAGCAATTGTTTTATTAATAAAATTTTGGTGTGTTACCATATTTACTCTCATATAAGACAAGGTTTTTATTCATTTTTCACTGCTTCAAAAACTAGATTGTCCTATATGTGCTAGTAAAGGATTTTTTTGTGTTTTTTGCAATAATTATTGTGAACCGTATATTCACATTTTTTACCAGAGGTTCACCCTCTTGTGTTTAAAAACAAAAGTATTTTATCTGGGTCATTCGAATCATTCTTGTGTATTGTCAGGAGTAAAGATGAAACAGCAATAGGAAAACAAAGCTTTTGAATTGAATTCCAAATTGAAATTCCAAAATTACACAGGAGCTCGATATAAGTTTTAATCCATACCCACGTGAAAACAGATGATTATTCAGAAATCAGAATTTGGAGAAACTCATAAGTGTAATCAATGGAGAGTGGATTCGACTGCTAAGAATTAGCCAAAAGGTTCTTGTCCAGCTTTACATTAACAAATTATGTTGTAGATTTTACAAGATTTTTCCTTAAGTTGAAAATGCCAGTAATTTTTGTGGGACAATGTATGCATTTACATGCATTTGATGTTTGATATTTTATTTGTGATTAAACAAATTAATTAGATTTATTAATACAATTCTAATTTTATCTTTATTTTGATCTTTAAAGTTACACTTTGTTCTATCAAGTAAATACGATAATTTCAAATAGATGTTGAATGTGGTAACAATGCTAAGTTCTTTTAAACTATTAGAAATACAAACATTCAAAAATTAATGGAAAATGGATTACTTTGAAGAGTGACATGCCATGTTATATGAGTTTTAAAAAGAGAAGTAATGTGGCAGAAGCAATGAGTATTTGTAGTGTCTACAGAAAAGATGTTTTTTTATTTAATGCTTGAAAATAATTTGCTAGATAGTTAGGAAATCGTTTGCTAGATTTAAACAGAGAAATTTTTCTCTTAAAAGAGATTAACTCTGTTCAGATGCATACCTTCAACTATATTCAACAATCTCATTCTTGTGGAAATGGGGAGTAATCCAAGATAGACTGTGGAGGAGATTGCAGCAATACTTGGGATTCCAAAATCAGTAGCTTTTGACCACATCAGAAGAATCAACATATTTAGCAAATATGACTTATGAATGCCCCCACACAGAGAAAAATTTGTTAGAGTATCTGCATGTGTTTCTCTATGTGGAAAGCAAAAGAATAGCCGAATGGAAAATGCCTGTTACTAATCTTCACAGCAATATGAAAAGATGATGATGGTTTGATTCTTGCAGTGTATTCTGTATAACAATGAAGTCTTCATTAAATCAAAAGAAGATAATGTCTGCTAGGATCAGAAACTTAATGTAACCATTACTACAGAGAAATATTGCAATAATTGGGTAAACTGAAAGTTGCCATTGATCAGAACTGGCAAGAAGATGCAGTGTAGTGTTCCATCACAATAATGCCAGACTGCACTCAGTAATATTCACTCAGCAGAATAACTTCTGCTGAGTGAATATTACTTCTGTGAGTTTAACTGGGAAATTCTAACACACTATATTCTCCAGACATGGTCTCATCAGACTGTTACCTTTTCGGATTGCTGCAAAATTTGCTTATCGATAAGAACTTTTGATGATGTAGAACAACACCTGAGTCATTTTTTTTACTCAAATAATAAATCTTTTTATAAAAATGGTATTTATAAATTGATTATGAGATGTGATAAGGTGATTCAACAAAATGAAAACTATGTTATGGATTAAAATAAATCTCAGTCAAAAATATTTCATGTTAAAGTTTATTTTAAAAAACATAATCTTTCTGGGTGGCCCTATAAATGTAATAAATATTATAATAAAATTTCTTATAAAAAATAATTATTAACAAAATATGTATTTGTAATTAACAAAATAATATAATGTTGTATTTACAGTATTAATAATGTAATATAATGTAAAATGATTAAAGTATTAATATTTACAATATTTCTGCACATATTTTTCACACTTTTTTACCATTAAATTAAAATAAAATAAATGAACCATAAAATAATTTATGTAGTTTTGAAGGTAGACTATATCAGTATTTATTCTTGCAAGAAATCTTGATTAATTGATAGAAGTTGTGATTTTATAAGATAGTTTAATATTTTAAAATATTAAACTTTTAATCATTAAACTAATATTAAACTTTTCATACATATTCTGAATATTTTTAATTCCCACATCAAACAGTATGCAGCTGCTTTTGATACATGTCTGTAAAGATGTTTTCCTCTTCATAAATCTGCTGACCCATCCTTGATTAATCTTAAACTCAAGGGAAGAAATATTTGTGTCTGAGCAATATTGTGAGCCTATGGTTGCAATATATCACGTGTTTTAGAGCTGTTATTGCACATTTCTTCAATATACTATAACAATTCTTCCTCAAGTTGGGGATACTTTCCAGTCTTAAGATCACAAAATGCTCTTACATTGGACTTTGCATTGCTTGGAGCTGCTTTTCGTTTATGCTAGTCACAAACAAGTCCCTCACTGACACCAAATTGTTTTTTCCGCAAAGCAGATTATTTTAATTTTTACTGTGCAGCAAAATTGTTATTTTTTCTTGCCATCTCACAAAGTTGCAGTTAACTCTACTCAGTATGACACTGAGGAACCTACTGAGGAAGTGCTATAAAGCAATCACACTTAACAACTGTCTTTATTCCCCAACATCATTGTTTCCAGCAAGTACAAAGATACTGTACTGTTAAGCCAATACAAGGGAATAAGGGTAAACAAAGTGTGTATATACCAGGGGGGGGCAAGCAAGAGTTCAGTGGGAGCCAAAATGTAGGTTTTGCAAATTGCATGGGAGCTGCAATTCTGTACTTTTTTTATTCTGTACTGCAATTTTATCATATAATATAAATATAATATAAAACAAATATTGAATTTTTTTAATAAACATATTTTCACAAAATTGTAGAAATAAAATTGTAAAAATAATAATAAAAAGCAGTAATTAACACTTTCAGCAAGAGGTGCATTTGCCCATGTCTGGTATATACCATAAAAATTTTTGTTGGCTGACTCATGTTTTATCTCTTATACTAAATGGTTCAGTATGAGAAAGTAAGAAGTCTTGCATTTTCCACACAAAAAAATACAGTAGAACCTCTAAAACTCGGCTCTCGATAACCCGGCACTCCGGATAACTCGGCCACACCCTGGCAGGGCAAAAAAATCCCCAGTTAATTAATTTTCATTATAGACAGCTTTATAAAAGTATAAAAGCTCTCATAAAGTATTTTTCTGAGGTCTGTCTTATCAGGTAAATTACTGTACACAGTGTATTCATTAATTTTCATTTTCATGTAGTAAAGGCTCTATGCCTTCATAAAGGACGTACTTTTTCTTTGTTTAAGGGTATTTGGGCAGTTTATTCTCTGTTATATTCTCAAGTAAACAATACATACAAGTACAGTACAGTATTTTCTGAGGAAACACTCGTACTTATTCTTTTTAACCCCATTCCCGATAACCCGGCATTTTCACAAACTCGGCCACCCTTCGGTCCACATTAGGCCGAGTTTTCGAGGTTCTACTGTACTCTAATATTCTCCCTAAAAATATTTCTTGGAAATATGTGTGAAAATATGGAAATTTAAAGAATATGTATATTTCTGTGTATATACTATCTACTTGGACCTTGTTTATTAATAGGACTATTATACTGGTCTAGTTTCTGATTAGCAAAGAGAGGAGATCTTAGTCAAAAGCCAAAACAAAATATCTTTATTTTCACCTTTCTTTGCTAACCAGAAACTATACCAATATAATAGTCCTATTAATAAACAAGGTCCAAGTAGATAGTATATACACAGAAATGTAAAACAGTAAGGGCATATAAATAAAAAGAATTTATATATTTGACAAAAAATTACAAATATTATGTACATCCTGATAGTCATTATTTACACAAACTTTTTAAAAGTTACTATTTCTAATATCATAAGAAATGAGAAAATTTTGTATAAATTTCTCTTCCAGGCTCCTCTCTTCAATAGTTTCTCAAAACTAATTACATCTACTCCATTATCAATTAATAGTAGAGATTTTCCTAATAAACCTGTTTCCTCAAATGGCACAGTATCAACTATTCATGCTGTCAGTAGTAGCATTCCTTTATACAGCAAGGATGGTGAAGGAAAAGTAACTAATGGCAGTATAGAAGATCCTGTTCCATATTCTACAAAAATCTATGGAAGCAGAGTTGCCAAAGTTGCTGCTATGTTTTCAAACAAAGACCAGCAGATTACTTCTAATACATCTAATGTTTTAACAGCAAGAAGAAAATCTTTATCTAGTCCTAAACAAAAATCAAGAGAATCTGATCAAAGTGAGTTGTTATTATTTGAATCTTAAAATATTAGATATTTGAATACTCTGTGATTAGATATTACAAAGTTGCTTTTGTTTAGAAAAAAATATTTTATTTGAATTTTTACATAAAAAGCAAGTCTTGAGATACCCGAACAAGAACTACTACGTGAAGTACTTTATGCATTTCAAGGCATTAAAGGAAATTACATACAATGGGAAGGATCCAAAAATAATTGCCATGTTGATTTAAAGGTAAATTTAATATTTGTATAGAGACTAAACCAATAAATAATTTTTTTATCGAGATGCATAAGTAATAGATTTAATAAAGTATGATGATCTAATTTGAAAGTGAAAAATAAGTGTTAAATTTATAATTATTTCTTTAGGTTTCCATGCCTAAACCGCAGAGACATTTAGTACTAAGACTGACCGAAATAGGATGGTTTTATACTAAAATTCATAAATTCTGTGATGATCATAGCAATGATAGAACACTTGGTCTTGTTGGTCAGAGTTTTATTGCAGCTCTCCAAGAAGAATTAACAGAATATTATCGACTACTTGCTGTTTTAGAATCTCAGGTAAATTGAAATTCCACACCAAAAACTTCAAATTGTAACTGATCTTTATTGATAATTTAAACATAATTTATTAGTTACAACAAGAAATAAATGGAAATGTATCTGGAAGAATACCAAAATGTAATCTAACATTACACAGACTTTCAGTTTGGTTATTAGATCCTTTTGTTCGCATGAAAATACTGGCTTCATTAGTTGATGCTTGCAAAGGTAAAATAAATTTTGACGAAAATTAACATTTTACTTGTTATAATTTGTTGTTTAAATGTATTAGGTCAGAAGGGTGGTGCATTGGCATCTGCTGTGTATTCATTTTTACAGCATGGAGATCCTGATATTAGGGATTTAATCAAGCACATATTAACAATGGCAAGAAATTTTATATTTAAAATTATTAGTTTAGCTTTAACTCAACTTTTAAAATATTATTTTAAATATTAGGTTGTTCAGCCTATTTATCGAATGCTTAGTTGTTGGATTTTTTGTGGTGAATTAGAAGATACTTATGGAGAGGTCAGTCAAATAAAAATATTACTAATTCATTTTAAAATTATGAAATTTTGGGATGCATCATTTACACATTCCAATATTTTATTTAATTTTATCTGTCAAAGTTCATATTTGAATTTGAGACTAATATTGCTAATTATGAAATATCTTTAAAAGTTTTTTGTAGCAGCAAATGCTTCAGTTCCAGATAGCATTTTGTGGCAAGAAAAGTATAGCTTGCGCAAAGGAATGGTTCCAGCATTTTTCACTATGGAACAAGCAAGAAAGGTGTTTAATATTAATTTTTATACACCTATTGTAATTTTTCAAATTTAAATTATAATTTTATTTTAAATAAAAAATATTTCAGATAATGTCAACTGGAAAAGCTATAAATTTTCTTAGACAAGTTTGTAATGATCACACAACAGTTAAAGGAAGAGAAGTAATTAAAAGTTCCATGGATGCTAACAATGGTATTTTGTTGTTGTTGTTGTTGTTGTATTTTAATGCTGTATTCTGTTGATAATGATGCAAATGCTATATCAGAACAAATACAAGATTTAATTGCATAAAAATACATATCTATTGTGTTCAAAGGATTGTATTAATCTATATATTTATATTTGAAAAGTTCTTGATTTAATAATAACTTGTGTTTAATAAATGTTATAGTCAACTATATTTCACTTCAAAAAAATAGAAATTATGTTTTTGCCCTTTTGAAATTGAACTTTATATTTTAATTTCTAAAATATTTAATATGGAATTAATCATTTTTATACTTCTGAAAAGATTGGCAACTAACTACATGTTGAACCTCACTAATCTAGTCTAACATCTTTGGACAATAATTTGAATTTGGTGGTCTTTAGTTTGAACAGCTGGCCAAGTAGCAGGTATGCAATGCTGCTATTGTGAAAAATGAAATTATTCCATTCTGAACATTAAATTATCTACAACTACATAATGTAAGTGCTTAGAAAAGCTTATACTGATCTTAAAATAAAAAAAAAGTGAAAAACCAACATCTGCTGAGGTCTGTATTGTTATCACAGGTTACAATTCTACTTTTTGTATTTTTAATTTTCTAATCATATGAAAAGTAGCCAATTTGTGATTTTTAAATGTTTACACTGAAACAATTTAGCAGGTTTTCTAAAAATATCCAAAATTATCAATGCTTTCTCAGAGTTAAAAAATATCTAATGCCACCTCAAATTATCCATATATTGGATTACTATTTGCAAATTGCTAATGTTGCAGCTGTGGCACCACCAGCAGACCATATCATTACTCTGCCATAGCTTGCTTATAGTAGTTTATGCTGCTGTGGTAGAGATATTATCATATTGCTATTTTTTGTCCTAAGCTTTGCTGGTTCAAAAAATCCATTATTCCAACTCTTGTTTTTGTCCCAAGCTTGCCAGACTGTTGCAGTTTGACCTTTTAATGTATTTTGTACAATACATAGTTTTGGACAGTTCTACAAATTTTAACTTATAGATTAAATCATAAATTTAACCTCAAGGTTGTATGAGGTTTTTCTTGTAGATTAAAATTTAATTTTGATGCTGTGGATTGAATTGCATATTTGAGTTAGTTTCATTTACAGTGATGCCTCATAGTTTAAATTTAATTCATTTGAGGAGGTTGTTCAAAGTCCAAATCAATTTTCCCCATTAGAAATAATGAAAAGTGAATTAAGCCATTCCTAGACCCTAAACAATAGCCATTTCAATAAACTTCAACAGCAATTACACATAATTTAAGGCAAAAATAACACAATTAAATGCCCTAAATAATAAATTACAATATGAAAACAATAAGTAAAATATAAATACTAAGTGATAAATAGGCATGTAATCCATGCAGGTCATAAAACTAGGTAATCCTTTTAGTTTTATCTCTTCCAAGAATTCAGTATCCTCGCATTTCTTTATGCAGTGCTTGAGAAGCGCTTTACAGCAAACACACTGAAACTGGTTTCTAATTGGCCAACACTGCTCGTGATGTCAATTCGCTACACTCTCGCTGCATGAAGAAACGTGGGGTATTGTATTTGTTACTACTTGAACAATTAAAAGAATGTTTGTGTGTTTGTGTAGCTACTGAAAATTTGCTCAGTATATCCACAGTGTACACTCGTTATATCCCTGAGAAAATGTATGGAGATAGGTGTAAATTAAAATTGTTATGGTATTTTGTTCATTATAACTGAACTCATTATATTCATGTTTGTTATAACCGAGTTCAACTATATCTAAATTGTTCTTGAATCTTTTGTTAGTTTGTTAGTATCGTTTATAACAAATCAGATAACTTAGACAATAACATGAATGAATTTTCATTGTAAGGCATTTAATATATTTATTTCATATATTCATATACATTGTACATAGTGTTTGTTTTTGTGTACATAGTGTTTAGTAATTTGATAAAATCTTAAGTAGTATATTTATAAAATCAATAATCATTTGTCTAGTTGAATCTGTCTTCAGTCAAGATAATGATGGAGAGTTCCAAAAACTATTAGAAACAAGTTACAGAACAACTAGTCATCATGTATTATCTGTTTTACATGAAAAATATAAATTTTTGGATCATTTGCAAGTAAGGAATGGTTTTTATAGTAGCATAACACTTTAACATGATTAGTTAAACATTTAAAAAAATAAAAATTTATTTCAGGCCATGAGAAAATATTTGCTGCTTGGTCAAGGAGATTTCATTCGACATTTGATGGATTTATTAGAGTAAATTTTTATTTTTTTAAAAACAATATTAATGTATTGTGTATAAATTATTTTGTATTTATCAATTAATTGATATTAATCCGTTTGTTTAAAAAATTATGTTCTGATTCTAATTAATCACATAATATATCGTTGAGTATATATGATTTGTGTTATATTTAATTATATGTAATTTTAATTTCTATTTTTTAGCATCAGTATTCAATAAGAAAATTTAAATTTCATTTTTATTTTTTTTATTACGTAGAAATATAATACATAATAAAATTAAAATATTAATTTATTAAACTAAATTATTAATCAAAGAATCACTCATTAGAAAATCAGAAAAATAACTATATTACATAATGAATTTTTTTATATGTACAGAATAGAACTGGCCAAACCTGCCAATATGTTATATTTACATAATTTGTCTGGAATATTAGAAAGTGCCATACGAGCAACAAATGCACAGTTTGATAACATTGACATTCTTCAGCGATTAGATGTCAGATTATTAGAGGTATTGTTTTATTAAGCTTATGAATTTCATACTGAGAATAAGGCTAAAATAAAACATTTAAAATCAGGTTTCAGCTGGAGATACTGGATGGGATGTTTTCAGTTTGGATTACCATGTAGATGGTCCAATTGGAACAGTAAGTTTTATGATTGGCTTAACTATATGTAAACTGACTAATATATGTATGTAAATTAAATTATTACTGTATAATTGAACTAGTTTTTTGTAATTTTAGAGTTAAATTTAGAATGTAAACTAAGCTAAACTTAACAATTATAAAGTTGCTGTAACTTTCAAATTTACTTAGATTGCTTTTTTTTTAATGAGATGAAACAATAAAAAATATCATCCTAATTACAAATATGAAAAATAAATCAACATTAATATGCTTCATAATTCCAAGTAGATACTAATTAGTGAATTATGAGCTTTCTGTCTGTAATCTACTAAGTAATTATACAAGCATATTTGCATTGCTGTTACAATTTTTAGACAAATCTTACACATTTTTATTTTTTTAATTAACACTTAGTGATCCAGAATGCATTTCAGTGATATTTTTGCCCTCTTTAGCTGGATTACATATTCTATTTTGAACTATACAATATCCATTTCACAGTTTAAAATATTGATTTGTAAAAAGTAAAATTTAAAATATAAATAAATTGCAGCTGCCATATAAAATGATATTTTACATTACGATAATAATAAAAGTATTCTAAAAACTATTAAACACAGTAACAGTACTTAATGTTGATTTTCATTTTAATACCTTTAACATCACAATAATATCAAATAGTTCAACAAACATACTAGACATTGTAATGATACTTTACAACATTATGCAATGTTGGCATCAGTTACAAGAAAGGAATCTTCAGTTCTTTCTTAATTTTCAACTTGCATAGATTTTTCTTCCATATTATTTCTTTTATAAATTTGGCAATATTTCACATCCCATTCAGTTTCTTTTAATTGATAATGCTGCCAACAGGTATCACTAGCATAATAATTGTGTATATAATTATTACAATATTATTAACTTAAATTTTACCAAAAATTTTTACACACTTTTATATATTATTATTAATTAAACTACTTTCAGATTCAGCTAGCCACTATTGGTTATTTTTTATTGATTAAGTAAATTCACTAATTTTTTACTACTACATGACTATTTTAATTCAGTTTGTCATATATATAAATCATTTATTCTGTTATTTGTTTTTTTAATATAAAAGTGCTCTTAAAGTTGCCTTTTTTATAAGCATTTTGTTCCTTTTGCAATATTTTAAGAGTATTTAAATTAACTTTACAATTATTTGAATTACAATATCTGACATCATCAGAATTATTATATTTGATGGTATGTACGTTTGCTAATTCTTAATTTTTGAGTTGTTTCACCTATGTATGTGTTTGGACTTCTGCAACTACATTCAAATTTATATACTACAGCTGCTTTATCTAATATGCTCTGATTGTTTTATTACTATTGTTAAAGTATTTTGGTGATCTGGTACTAAGATTATAGGTCAAATAAACAACTCTCTACAATTAACCAGTAACCGGCGCGAAATTCTTTAAAATCGGTGAACGTTTTCGATTCCCCTCCTGGGATCTTCTTCGGGCTTACTTTTTATACCTTTTGTTATAACTGGATTCTTTAATTCGAATGTTTTTTAAAAAATATGGTTTATTAAAGAATCCAGTTATAATAAAAGGTATAAAATGTAAGCCTGAAGAAGATCTCAGGAGGGGAATCGAAAACGTTTGCCGATTTTAAAGAATTTTGCGCCGGTTACTGGTTAATTGTAGATAGTTGTTTACTTGAAGTATATACAACTCGGTGTGGTGAGAAAATACATTAATTAAGATTATAGGGCCCACCAGTGGCCAAGTGGTCTTCGTACCCTGAACATTGGGAGTTCGGTCGTGGGTTCACACCTCGCTCGGACGGGTTGGCCATGTGGAGTTTTCCAGGTTTTCTCAATGTCTGTAATGCCTAAATAGGGGCCAGTTTCCCTTAAAAGACCTCCCAGGATACATCACCAAGTGTTGCATTGCCATAACTTAACAAACAAACAACTAAGATTATGTTGTACGGTCTTAATATATTTTTAATTTTCCCAAAAATTGTTTCTATATAAATTTCTTTTATTTATTTACTTTTTTGCCTATTTGTAAATCTTGTATCCTTTATTTTTGTCATAAGGTTTTGAAGTTCTGTTATAGATTTTTCTGTATTTCCATTTTAAATGTGTTTACTTATATATTTTGGTATTGTTGATTTGTAATTTAACATTATTGGGATCTGGCAGAGTTTAACATGTTTTTTAATTAAGAAATTATTATTATTATTAAGTTTCTCAACTTCCATTTGAAACCTTATACTAGGATCTAAATTATTTACTTTTTGTAAGATGGTTTGCATTGTAGTCTTTTGTATGTTTACAAGAATAAAACAATTAATTTAAAAAATTGTTTGTTTTAGGTTTTTGCACCACAATGCATGATAGCATACTTACGATTATTTAATTCTCTTTGGAGAGCCAAACGTATGGAATATGTGTTATCAAGCATGTGGAAGGTTCGGACCACTCATATAAGACTTGTGAAGAGAATTTCTGGCAAGTGAAGATATTCACAGTAATGATGTGCATGTTTATAAAGAAAAGAGCAAAGGTTATGTTTAAAATACTTTTTATTTTCAGAATTGGGACCAGTTTTGCATCATTGTCATATAATACTGTGTGAAATGATTCATTTTATTCAACAGATGCATTATTATATTGCATTTGAGGTAAAACATTTCTTTATAAGAAAAATGCATATCTTTCACATTTAATTCTAATTAATCAGTTAAAATTTATTATTTATTACTTTTTTAGGTGATGGAGTGTTCTTGGGCTGAATTACTTCATAAAGTGCAAGAAGCCCAAGATTTAGATCAAGTAATTGCTGCACATGAAGAATTTTTAGACTCTCTCTTAACTAGAGCATTATTAGATGAAGAATCAAAAGTATGCAATTTGTAAATTTTGAAAAATTTTATTAAATAATTTACTTACAACACAATTATTCTGAATAATAGAAGCATTGATTTATTTTGAACGAATTGAAATTAAATTTTGAATTGAATTTCAGAATGTTTTGAATTTTATAAAACATTATGGATTATATTTTGCATTCCTCAATTAAATCACAAATAGTAACTTTTGAAAAAAATGTTTTATTTGTATTAAAATTATTTCACCTGAAAAATATTTTATAGAATGATGCTTGTTTAAAAAATAATTGCTATCTATGTTCAAAATAAGGTTACAAGAATAATAATTGTTGATTCTTAAATCATTATTATTATTATTAATTCAAAAATATTTTAATTGTAATTTAAACTTTTATATTTTACCTTTTTTGTAACAAAATTATAAGCATTTTATTTGAGTTTTATTTAAATATATCTGGTTTTTTTATTTTTATTTTTTTGGAGACTCAAGAATGTTAAAGCTTTATTGCTTTTGAATGATCAGATTACAAATTTTTACTTCTTGTTTGTTATAGAATATAATGTAAGAAAGTATGGTCACTGGTCATATTTTGACTCCTCTGGTTTTTTTCATTTCTCAACATTTTGACACTCAAGCCCAAAAATGTAAAAATAAACCTGTTACAACATTGTGTATGTGTTGGTGCCTATTTTGCATTTTATCTCAGGACGTGGATGAATCAAAAGTTTAGAAACTTGACAATTATTTTTGTATATGGCACATTGATTCTAAGTTAAATTTTGGTGGTTTAGATTAGAATCAGGGTTTGCGTCCCGGGACGTCTTGTGTCTCGAAGTCCTGAGACTTTTTCTAAATTTAATTGTCTCAGGTCCCAAGACATTCGGGTCAAGACTCGAGACACACTTATCAAAATTTTATTTTCAAAAGGTTAGCCAAGCAATGCTTCCTTTGTTCTCCCTCCTGTTTACAAATAAACAACGGAGGTGGGGATAATTTACAAGGCCATGTGACTTTTAACCTTATTCTGTTAAATGTTTGTTAAAATATTTGCACACTGGCCACCACAGCTCAGTCGCAAGATACAGATTTTTTTACTTCGAATTTGAATAAAACTGCACTTATTGCTTTTGCAGAAGATCTGCATTACAGACTTTTTGAAAATATCCCTCGTATCCAAATGCAAGATTTGGAAATAATGGACGCCGAACCCAGTACCAGTAGCTCTACAGTACACAACGAACCCGATGAGTTGTTTCAAAGTCAAATGGAACAGGCAATCAAAAAATCGAAGAAAATATATCCGAAATTTTTGCAAAAAGATCAAGAGCAGCATTAAAAAACGAGTTCCAGTTACTTGAAGAAACCGGAAAACGTACTGAAAGTTTGAAACTACTTTATAAAGCTTTAAACACAATAAAACTGACATCTGTTGAAAACGAGTGTGTGTTCTCCTTGTCCAGAGGCATTATTACAAAAATCAGAAACAGATTGTCGGACAAACTGTAAATGCTCTGATGTTTTTAAATGCCTATTTTATTAAATCAGAAAAGATGTCTAATTGCTAGTTCATTATATTATTTATATGACTAATGAATAGAAACTAGGTGATGATTAGTATGATTACTAAGTTGGTTTTATAATTTTAAGATTTCACTGCCAAAAAATGAATCTATGATTATAAGAATTAAACATACGAACTGTTTAGACTTTATTAACGTTATAAATGTTAGGATTTGATTTTATGTTCAATAAATGTTGATTTTTACTAAAATTGCTTTTTTATTGATACATCTCTCCAAAAATGAACTCTATTCTAATTTTATTCTGAGAAGTCATATTGTGAAAAATGAAATTATTCCATTCTGAACATTAAATTATCTACAACTACATAATGTAAGTGCTTAGAAAAGTTTATACTGATCTTAAAATAAAAAAAAAGTGAAAAGGGAATAATTTTATTCAAAGTCCTGGGACGTCCCGGGATTTTGATCGTGGGTTGTCTCATGTCCCGGGACTTTTTGAGAATGTCAAGACTTCCCAAACCCTAATTAGGATGTAGAGTAATCATGTCATATCTTGAGTGGGGTTGGACTTAATGAAAATTTTACTTGTTATTGGCATTTACAATTTCTTTAAAAACTCAGTCCTACATTTAAAAAAAAAAAACCTTTTCTCTTTTTATAACAATTAATAGCATAAAAAGGTTTTTTCAGTCTTATAACAGATACACAGTTTTAACTTTGTATGTGATAAGTGATGAGAAACTTGTGCAAGAACTCTTGTCAGTTCTCTCTGTCTTATTTATAATACAACTTTAAATTTGTGTTCTTATATTTTATATTTTATTGTCTTTTAAATTTTATACTTTAAAATATTTTAGACTTTAGCATTTTATTAAACATTATTTAAATGAAAATTTATAGTATTTTTTTCTTTTTTTTAATTATATTTTAATCAATAGAATTGAAAATAAATGTATTTAATACTTTATTTATAAATATGTAATTAAATGACTTCATGACATTTTTAATCTGTTGATTTTTTTTCATAGATTACATATTTGATATTGTGTTGGAAATTATTATTCTATAATCAATATTTCTGGAATATTAAAGTGTTAATAACATTTAATATTTGCTTTAAAATAACCTATTTCTAAACTTTTTTATAAGTATTTATTTACATAATGTTAATCAATTTAATAAATGTTAAACTTATTGTAAAACTCTCTCTCTCAAATTTTTTTTTAAATAATTCATTTCATCTGTTTTAATGTAGTTAAGAAAGATTGAAAAATTGCTTTTTATATACTTAATTCCTTTATAATTGATACAGATGATAGAGAATTATGCATAAGGAAATTACAAATCAAAATCGCTCAAATTTACTACTTACATATGACAATTTTTGAGGTCTTAAACACATGAAATTGCATTTACTTTTATTAAATGCAACTAACTTTGTAGATTTTGTATATTAAATAATAATTCATATATGAATAAGATTTTCGATATGCAGAGATTTTGTTTAAAATACTTCAGATAAATTTTTTCATGTTTCAATAAATTATATATTAATTATATCATAAATTTTAGGATTTGTTAACTCAGCTACGAGCCATTTATGATTTGATAATTCAGTTTCAAAATATTCAAGAAAAATTTTGGCAGCAGGCAAATGACATTGTCGAAGAAATATATCATCAAGAAGCAATGATAGTTTCTGATACAGAAAAGGTAAATAGGAAAAAAATTGTAGGATTAATACACATATTTATAAATAAATAAATTCTAGGGAAAATGGGGAACATCTGAAGCAAGAACCGCTGCTTACGAAGATTCTAAAAATCAGTTTATTCAAAATGCCATTCCTACAGTAAAGGCACAATTACGACTTCTCGAACGTTCCTATGAAGTAAGTATTTAACAAAAACAAATAGCTTAATTTTTTTTAATTTTTGTTTTCACATAACTTTGTTTTAGTTTATTACTTCATTAACTTGTGATATTAGATTGGTAAAACCTTATTTCATAATGAATACTGATTAAAATAGACATTCTTAATGAACTGATATTTGCCAGTTTAAGTTTTATTTAAATTTTTGTATGAGTTATTGTTGCTTTATGGTGTTAGTGAGATAAAATCAATTTAAAACAATCTAAATTTAAAATAAAATATTTTAAATGCATTTGCTTATTGAAGTAATGAATAAATTAAATAAGATGTGCTAGATGTTGCTGTTCTCATTAGTTTAAATTTTCTAATCTAATTAATTAATAAATGTTAAACTTATTGTAAAAACTTATTTTTTGTTTTGTAATTACCTTATATAAGAAGCATTATTTACTGTGTAATTATGTTAAAATAAATGTATTTTGAAATTTTTATAATTAATAAAGTGATTATGAAAATTATTAAAATAGCATTTTATTAAAGTTTATAATAATGAAATAAAAATAACTGTAAGTTACTGCATAGTGAAATTCTAATAAATAGAACTTTGTGAAATTTGTCATAATAAGTAAAATATTTTTTTAGGATATGGTACAGAAATTCTTATTAATGTTGACTGACCATACAGATCCAAATCTGCGATTCCTCAGTTTCCGTTTGGATTTCAATGAGCACTACAAGAGTCGCAACACTAGACTGCATACCTCACTGACGTATCAGCATCGCCGTCGATCTCTGAAATAGAGATAATAAGTTTATTCTCGGTAATATTTACTTAGTGCCAAGTTTTGTAACGTTGAAAGTTGTCTTTTTTCTAGGGCTTTTTATTGCCTTAAGTAGAAACTTAAGTGTCTTCCACATATTAGAGGAATGTTATATTTGAAGTTTGAATTTTATAAATATGTAACAGGGATTCATTATTGTTTAATATGCTTCTACTTAGTTTTGATCACAGTAATTGCAAATATAATACTATAATTAGAAACATAACATTGATCAATAATGTATATCAGAAGAGATTTGCATTCATAGTTGATGTTTAGTTATTGTTAACTATATTTATTGTTGAACATTAACAAATTGTATATAACTAGAAATACATCTTGATGTACCTCTATTCAAATTTGTGTACATTTTTTAAGATTTTAAAACTGTTGAGTTGTAAGTATAGAAAAAACTTCCAAGTTTTATTCATAGAATATAGAATATTATTTAAAACATTTTCTATACATGATACAAATGTGTTGCTCTATGTGAATTTTGTTTTGAATTTTCATACTTATAAAAGTCTAAAAATGCCACATAGTAAGATGGTATATAACCAGTATTTATTTATTTGGGAAAAGTTTTTTTAAGTTTTAATCAAATTTAATACTTAAGAGTCTGATCTTATCAAAAACTTCTTTCGTACATATAAAACAAATATCACTACAAAAATTATATTGATGTGGTCATTAGGTATATTGTCTTGTACACTATATAATTGAAATCTTGACTATAAAGTTCAATTCTGGCAGTTGTACCAATGATTTTCAAGTACTCACGTTTTAAAACTGCCATTTGTAAATATAATATAATTACATAAAAAATGTAACAAAAAGATAATGCACCTCATTTGAAAATCTTCCATAATCAGAATCTGTATTAAACCACAATTGAAATGTTGCATAATTTTTTAATTATACAAGAATTTTTCCATTATGTCTGTAGTTATCAGAGCTTAATGTACATTCTTGAAAGTGGCAAATATAATAATTTATATACTTATATGTAGTATGAAATTATAATGGAATGAAATATACTTTTAGGATAAAACAATTTAATACATGATGTATATAAGTTAAATATGCAGAAATTTCTTTCAAATTTACAAAATTTTTCAAACTGCATTCATGCTATTTTTCTGGATTCAGTCTCATATGGATTAAAAATTATTATTGAATGGAAAACTGTTCTCTGTCATCTGTATTTATCTAAGAAACATTGATTCTAGAATGAAAAAGTTAAAAAAAATATAGATATTTATGTGCTGAACATTTGTTATATGTAGATTAAGTTGCACCCTTTCTTTTTTTGTATGATATCAATAAGTAGAAAGTCTAATTAAAGTGGTCAAAAATGTATTTATTTTAAGAAATGTTTTTGGTTGTTACCTGATTATCATCAGCATACAGAAAGAATATAAATAACAGGAATAGAATGAATTTAGATAATTAGCCAAAGATTCTTTAAAAATTGATTATTAAAAAATCTTTGCTACAGTAAATTATTCAAGTTCATTCTATTATTATTTTTATGCTGGAAGCTGAAATGGGTAAGTTCTGACTGAAAACATTTCTTAAAATAGCTTGACTGAACATTTTTACCTATTCATTGAGATTATACTACTACAATGGCAATTTTTATGGATTTTTCTAATCTTTCATTGAATTATTTACATTCTATAAAGAATTTAGCAGTTGAAATTGTTCTTATATAACAAAAAGTAATTGTAGTCAGCACCTAATCAGTTGTGACCAAATTTTAAGTTGCAAATTTTCTATTGTTAAAATATAAATTTAAATATAATATTCTGTAACAATTTATGAAAACTATTCCTAAAAATAATAAATGAGTAATTACTTGCTATATACTTAAAGCCAATTAAAAGTTTTAATTGGTTTTTTAGTAATATTTATGACAGCATATAAGATAGAAAATACTGTTTATAACTAATCATTTTATTAATACCAAAATAAAAGTTAACACTCATTTAATCATTTTTAAAGGAGAACATTTTTTAAGGGTTAAGTTATTAATTATTATTCATGAATTCAAGCCAAGTTCTTACAGAATTTGAAACTTGTGAATTGCAGCTAATACTTTTAGATACTTGCAGAAAAGTGCTTAAACAGACAACTAGAGGAAACAATGTGATATAATATTTAGCTTTAAATTTAAAATTAAACATTTACATCTTATAAATGACATCAAGAAGTTAATACATTATTTCATTTAGATACTGAGGTTTCTCCATTTGTATCTAAATAAATATAATAATTTAACTTTAAATATTTACACATCTTTATTTATAATTTCAATTTATGCTGAAATATTTAAAAATTATGTGAATACAGAATGAATTCATGAATAATTAATTCAGCTCTCTAAAAATGATATGATTTTGAATGGATAGAAGTATGTGCAAGCATTAGAATTAAATATAAAGGATGTGGAAGGTTTCAATTTTAATTGTGTTGTTATCTATGTCGGACTTACTATGTTAATAGGACTTATTATGCTGGTGTTGTATCAGCTTTTTCAAATAGAGGAAATCTTATTCAGAAAAAACAAAATCTTTATTTTTCACCTATGGAAGGATGTGGAAGGTTTATCAACTAGATAATGAGGATGATTTATCCTCATTATAATCAATTCATTTATCTCTTTTATTATATAAACTGATTGACAAAATTAGGGACAATAATAATAGGATAAGGATAACTTAAAAACTGGCTAATTTCATTTTATCAATGCCTTATAGGTATGCTATGGTTATAATAGTTTGCAGGGATCTCACAGCTTACTAGAGATTCTTTTTTGTTTATTTGTTTGTTTAATTGGGTTTTAATATAAAATGATTTTATTTCCCCAACGAGTTGCTGGGTTACATAAATTCAAATAAATGAATGTCAATTTTAAGACATTTCTTTTTCTTTTTGTTTAATTTTATATCATGGTTTAACACCATTTTATTGGAAAAATTCATTGATCATGTGGCTCTTGTATTTTCTTATTATGTCAAGGGTGTATTTTCTAGACAAGCATTTTGGAAATAAATTTTTATTTTGACAGTTTTGCACTATTGGATTATAATTTTAGATAAGGCAGCTGATAGAGGATAATTAATTTATTGAGATAATAATTTTAAAACATTTTTGGTGGCTGAAAATTTTTTGTGGATACCTCATGTTAATGGGTTCACTAACGATTGTTATAGTGGATAAATCTTATCAAACCAAATCAAAAAATGTGATGCAACAAATGTTTTTGTATAAACACCACAAAGAACGGAACCCAATAATGTGTGTCATATCATTCAATTCATAAATGATGTAAACAGGTGATAAAAATGAATGCAGTTTGACATTCCATTATAAAAATTTTCTAAGATAATTATTGTGCTTTTTAAGTACTAGACAATGGTTTTCATTGTCTAAATTTCTTTATAAAAACTTCTACAGATTCTGTCATTTGTTACCCAATTACATTGCTTAAGAATGCATTCATTGTTTTAAAGTGCCTCTCTATTAAATTGTTGAAGATTGTTGTCACGTTGTGTAGGTGTATAAATATATCCCAGTCAAAACTAAGGTTTCTCCTGACAGACTTTTTTTTTAATCAAAAGGACACCAGTGAAGTGTTTTTATGTTAATAATGTAAAAAAAATGTTTCTCATTATTTTAAAAAGTGTAATAAAAGTGTTTTAAAAGTTTCGTTCTGTCTGAATGTTAAGTTTGCAATGGCCAGGGTAATATAAGATACTATTTTGAGAGATGGCATTTGAATATAGTCCAGACTTTCATAATTATAAGTTGAGACTGAGAGTCCCTATCCTTCATCCATATTGGCCAGTCTGTTATAAGTCAGGCTTCCTTATAATTGAAACATTAATGTGCTAAGTCAATTAACAATTTTTGATTATAATGAAATATCCTCTTAGGATTACCATAATTATGCCATCTTAAACGCAAAATATTTTTGTAGATATATATATAAAATAAAACTCTTATTTTTGCAGGGTTACCTAAAAAAACATCCCTCTCAATGTCCACAGGGCAATAAGAGTAAAAAAACTACATACATTGGTAGATCCATAATACCCAATAATTTAATTTAAATAAATAGATATCAATACAGTACTTGGTTTGGTTGATAAAACAAGGCAACACCAACAAACCGGTCTGCCAAGGAGGAGGTTCCGAGACGACTTATATTTAGGTGTTACACACGTGGCATGCCCCTTGGTTAGGCGCGAACCCTTGACTGACAACCAATGTTTCTACACCCAGCCTCTGGTGGACTCAAAATTCGAATATAAAAACTGCACATTTTGGTTAAGCCAGGCCTGAGAGAATGGGAGCAGTGGCGTAGCGTGGGTGTCAGCCGCCCGGGGCGGAGAAAAATTTCGTTTCCCCTTATTTAGGTATCAATTTAAAAGACTAAAATTCAGTTTCGTCACCGAATAAGTAATGAAAAATTCCGGTAAAGTGAAGAATAGTGTGCAGTGCATGCCGGTTCTAAATCAGTTACAGTTAGCGACTAGGGAGACTTGGGTAGGAATAATGTAAGTGACCTAGCTCTATTGGATATTGGAGGTGTATATATATACGAATAAATCGTACAAGCGAAAAAAAAAAGGTTGACAGGTAGCGCACGGACGGTGAGTCGATTCTCAGACTGTCCGGATGGTAACACTATTCCGTGCATTTCAATCGGTCCGAATCGTAGGTGGACGAAAATATGAAATAAAATGATTCAAATTCTTACAAAATATTATTATTTATTGTGAAATTTTGCCGTCCGGGGCGGGCCGCCTCCACTACGCTACGCTACTGAATGGGAGCCTTATACCCCGTTCGCACCGAGCATTTCGATCTAGATTGTGACTAAGGTCGGAGACTGTTCCGTGGTGCGAACGCTCTCGACCGTTTCAATCTCGAATGAAACGAGGTTCAATCGCGATCGACTGGAGAGAGTTCTCGAAATAAGAGAGATCCCACGCGCGCGAGAAAATACAAGATGGCTGCGGAACACGTGCCGGACTATCAACAGAGAAATAAAAAAGACCTCTGGAGAGACGATGACATCTGTCAATTATTAGATATATAGCAAGAAAAAGTATTTATTTCTAACCAAAACTTCCATTTTGTTTGTTGGTGTTTGTGACTTACCGCGTAGTTACGTCAGTTTTATGATCGCGTGTAATAGCCAGGTTCTCAAGCGGACTGCCTGTACGAACAGCACGACGTTCGACTAGCGACAGTCACAATCCAGATTGTATGTAAATCGAGATCGAAGCGAATCGTGGATTGTGTGCGAACGTAGTATAATAGTATTACTAAGATATTGGGTATCTCTCACACCATGATATGCTAATCACTGGCCGAGTGATTGGCATATCATCTAACACCTAAATAGGGACCAGTTTCTCATAAAAAGTTTTTCCAGGAGTCATCCACTTGACACATAACTCGTGTTGCGTTGTCTTATCCCATCCATTCAAATCCAACGAATATATGGCCGGTTGGCCGAGCGGTCAATGTGGCAGCCTACCGCCCTGTGGGGACCCGGGATCGAATCCGGACGGGTCAAGAAATCCCCAGGAATTTTTCTGGGGTGATCGTTTGGATATGTCGGGCCCCGTCCTTCACCACCCGGTCGCCCCATTGTGGGCCTGGCAGAACCCACAATGGGCCTGCTATAAGAGAGCCTTCTTAGTACCCACAGTGCGGAAAGAGAAAAAAAATTAAACGAATATATTTTGTAGGTTACTTACTTAATCTGGCTGAATTTTTTCAAGACTAGTATAATTTCGAGATTTCTCCTCTGTTTTAAACACTCAATCCAACTCGGACACCGTATTTATTTGAAAAATTACAGAAATGAATTTAAGGAACGGTTGAAAATCATTTTTCCTTGCACATGTTACTTATCTCAATCGTCAAGCACTTTCCATCGATTGATAGATAAAACGGTCATATCTTCGACCCTCGAAAATACTTCAAATGTCTGCCTAATAAATATTTTAAATAAGTTAAGTGAAATCGAAACAGGATCAGTGGTCAAGTTTAGATTAAAATATAAATAATTTTTTTATGTTTTTCCCGTATTGAGACTCGATATAAGTAATTTTGTTTTTCGAAAATTTGTTATCGGATGTATTAAGATAAAGTTATTGTTTATTCATTATCAAACAGCTGATTAGTTAATATAGATCTTTTTGTTAAATAATTGCATTTCCTTTTGAACAAAAACAACTCATGCATTGATATCTGCATCATATTTCTATAATATGGAAGAGGAGGATAATCAAACTGGGAATACCTCTCGTCGTTTCTTAGTTGATCGGAGGGCTTTCGATCAAGGAGTATTTAACGAAGCTTATCAAGTATATAGCGTCAAGGAACCCCATGCCAAAGAGAAAATAAGGAGAGCTTTTAAGTGTAAATGCTCCTTCAAATCGGCCATCAAAATCATTCGAACTCTCTTCCCGATTATAGATTGGACCAGAAAGTATGACGTTCGGAAGTATTTATTTACCGATATCATTGTGGGATTAACTGTTATAGTTTTTCAAGTACCGCAAGGTAAGGCCATCTAGCTCATTTTTTCCCTCTCCTCTCAGTGGACACTCAAGTTCGGGATTTCGGCCCACAATGGAGCGGCCGGTGGTAAGGGACGACGTTCGAAAAATCCGTTCTGCGAGCCCTAAGAAAGCCATTTTTATGCCCATTATGGATTTGATAGAATCCACAATGGAGAGTGATGTGTCCCAACATATCCGCGTGTCAACCCACCACTCATGCTAATTTCTGAGTGTATTCGTGCTCGAACCCGGATCCCCAGGACGACAGGGATGGTGGCATTACTAACTTATAGGACTATGGGTTTTTAAGAGAGTGCAATATTTTTGAATATAACGTAATCGACTCTCCTATTATTTTCTAAAGTTTGACGTAACAATTATAATCACAAATTTCGAAATCTGCGATTTTTTTTCTCTTTCTATACTATCTTATTTAGTGTTTTATCTAAAAAGAAAAAACATCATTGGGGTTATCTGTTATAATATTTTTAATTAGTGGACTCAATTGGAGAATTTTTATGTATGTCAGTGCGTTTTATAGGTTTCATATTTATTTATTTATCGGAGAAAATGGATGGGTCTTATGAAATTAATTTAATTTTTTCGTCCCTGGAAATTTTCAGCCAGTTTGCCTCATTATTGACTTGACCGAATCCATAGTGAGCTTGAGATTTGACGTATCCTCATGAACGTTTCTGGGGATTCAATCAATTATGTCTTTCAAAGATCCCGCTGAAGGATATGAATTCAAACATATCTTGTTATGTGTAATTCGAATTGGGTATCTTTCTCCTCCTTCATAATAACCAATTTTATTAGAAAATAAGTCCATCTTAATGGATAATATTGTAAAATAATAGCTCATATAACCCGCTGTAAAATGATCTACGGCGTAAAAATTCGCTTCAATTTTGGATTGGATTGATGGTTGAAGACAATGCAAAATGTGGACGATCAGCCGAAAGGAATGCCTTCCACGGGTCTGTTATGGGAAAATGGCCCTCCGTTTAAATGTTAGATACATGAAGAAAATCCGAGAAACCCCACGCGGCCAGCTCGTTGGTCAGGCGCGAACCCACGACTAATTAGCAATGTTCAATGATTTTATCCCTCGGCACTGGTGGACCACTTCAATTTTATCTAGATCGAATTTTTTACTTTTTTTTAGCGTAATGGTACGAATTGATAATCTGTTGTTATTAACAATTTGTTTTGAAGTTTGGATAATATCCAAATAATTTCAAATGTTCGAGAAATTCGATCAGTTGTTATTGATCAAATAAATGATTAGGCTACATATCATTCATTAAATTTGTTCTTCGGTTATATTTGAATTTCTCAAATTTTGTGGATTTTCCATAAAATTTGAGAAATTATTAATAAAATAATTACTCAGGTGATGTGCGGTAAGTTTATCCGTCATCGTGAGATAGTAAGTTTGAATAGGTTTAAATCCTCATTTATCATGGGCATTATTCCCTCCTGATAATTTTCGTGGAGTGGTCCATCGGATATGTTGAGCCTCATCCCTCACCACCCGGCTGCACCATTGTGGGTCTGTGGGCTTGCTAAAAAATGCCCTCTTAGTGTCCACAGGGCAGAAAAAGTTAAAAAAAATCATTGTAGGTCTGGCAAAACCACCATTGTTTGGCCATACCCACAGTAGAGAGGCCATCCCTTCAACATAAGGGATGGGGTGCTGACATATCGGGTTGGTGAATAATGGGGCCCAACATATCCAGACCTGACCGACCAATATGCTCGCTCGGATTCGATCCTGGGTCCCCCAGAACGGTAGGTCTACAATCGCCTCGGCCAAATGGCCGATAGGTAAGTATATTAAATTGTGTACCGAATTATAAAATAGAAGGTTTAAGGTTTAAATTAATGAAGTTTTCTGTTAATAGATGATTATTCAAATTTTTTCATAGTTAAAAAATTCAGAATGTAGAATTCTATTCTATAGTACTGTACAATAGGCCTGTTGAGATGAGGAAGGGTTCACTACATTGCAGATAAACTTTGTTAGTATTAGTTAAATGGATAGATAATAAAAAAGTAAATAAAAATCATCTTCGATACTTATAATCATAAAAAATGTTATAATAATTTAAATATAGAAAAATATTTTTATTGATAAACAGTCTGTAAATATAAAGTTTTAATAATAAAATTGAAATCGTTCGATTTTATACGCCTCAAACTGAATGAGGAGAGAGGATTGTAAATGAAGATTGTGAAATTAATTTGCATGTTTTACGTTTAAGGAATGGCATATGGACAATTAGCAGACGTTTCACCTATTAACGGTTTATACACATCTTTCTTCCCTGTGTTAATTTATGCATTAATGGGTACATCAAAACAATTATCTGTTGGTAAGTTGTCTCGGATTAAACAGCAAAATTACGTCAAAATACCTTTTTAACAACGTTAAAATTACAGGAACGTATGCAGTGATGTCACTGATGGTAGGAGGAATCGTTGCAAAGTATCCAGTTGAAGATTTTTGCCATTCGGAAAATTGTACGACATGGAAAGATCCAATCAACAACACCCCCATAAGAGCCTTGGATATAGTTATCATGCTTTGCTTTATATCTGGTTTATATCAAGTAAACGCTGAGTCTAACAATTTATTTTGATTTAACAATGAAAAAATCTTTTAACTTCATATTTATCCATACTTTAGCTCATTTTTGGTTTACTAAGATTCGGATCTTTGAGTGTATTCCTTTCTCCTCAACTAGTCAGTGGATTTACTACTGCAGCCGCTATACATATCCTCACTAGCCAGTTCAGATACGTTCTAGATTTAGAAATTGTTCGTTATAACGGGGCTTTCAATCTAATCTATGTAAGTTATATCATGTTATATACATTATATAAGCTTATTTCTGAAGTAATTTATGATTTTTAAATATTTTTTTAGACTTATATAGCGCTGTTTAAAAATATTTCACACACCAATTTAGTGACCTTGGCTATGTCTCTTTCTACTATTGGCTTTATGGTCTTTTTCAAAGAGTTGGTCGAGCCTCGAGTGAAGAAAAAGATCAAAATTCCACTTCCAATCGAAATCGTAGTGGTTTGTATTCTTAATTTACATATTTTCCAAATTATTTCTCTAATTTTGTAAACGATTGTCAACTAAAATTATTGATACTTCGTGTAGACATCATCAAGAATTCAAAAATGGCGCATGTAAAAACATTAGGGTAAACTTGCCTAATTCGTACTTCGCTTATATCTTGACTCAGGTAATAGCTATTAGTATCTCTAGTAGCAAAAAAAGTAAATAACAATCGGCCATATTACCATCTGACAGACAACACGCTGTTACGCTGCTCCCGACAAAAATATTGAAAAGGAAAGTTTTTTCAACTTTTTCTGTAATATTTTTGCGCATTTCGTAAAAACTTTCTTTAAATTGGATCGTGTGTAAGTTTTTTAACTATCTGTGATGTATTAATACGTATTTTTGTGATTTCATCTGATGTGATGATATATGCGTATTTGTTGTCAAATTTTTTGGCGACAAATGTACAGTTTGTTCGACTCTTGCGTCTATTTCGTACTCGAGGCAAGTTCTTAAAACGTACTGATACGATTTAGGAAAACCATTTTAGATGAATGTCACAATAAGCTATTACCAATTCGTAAATTTATTTATTTTTTACTAAGTTTCTGATTTGAAAAATAGCCGCAAAAGTTCAAAACAAATTATAACTTAATTGTCTTTAATTTAATTTTAGAACAACATGTCAAAAAGAAAATATAATTCTTGGAGTAAAGAAAATATGAAAGAAGCGATTAAAAAATATAATGACGGGACCTTATAACTTAACGAAGTTTGTAGTGTATATAATGTACCGAAATTGACATTTAGACGACAGTTACAAGGACTGAATACACATCAAATAATACACTAGATAGGTCATTTTTCAAATCATTAAAACTGAATTTTAGTGCCGCTTGCGCATCGTGGATGCGAAACCATCCTGGTTCCTTAATAAAGCATATCCTCGAGCCGTTTGTATGGACACAGGCATGCATGGCTTCGAATCTTGTGGATTGTGGCCTTGCAATCGCTTTAAGATCAGGGATGAGGAATATGTTGTTCTTGACGAAGATGCTAATCTAAGTGAATCGGCGGAAGTCTCCGAGAATCTGGCAACTGAAAGGTAGCAAGAACAAACAGATACTTTAACGTGTGTGGCACAATTCAATCAGACTACTGAGCAAGAACAGACTGAAGAAGTTGAGTACCCACAACTTCCTGAGGTCCCAACAACTTACCCTTCGGAAAACCAGCGTCTAGAAGAGAAAGCGAAGGAATGTTCTTTAGGTATGAAAGTAAACATTTCTAATACAGAGACAGTTCGAGCGACATTTGAAATAATATCTCCAATATGTGGTATTCTTGGAAATGCAAGAAGAAAAACTTATCAAAGAATCTTGGTGCAAAGAAAAGTAAAACTACTAAAATATCACAAAAGGAGAATAAAAAAAAAAGAAACAAGAAGATGAAAATAACAGTTGGTACTGTAAATTGTGCCAAGAAGACGTAAAAGAAAGTATAATCAAATGCACACAATGTGAGATATGGGTACATGAACTTTGCGCAAGAACCAACAAAAAATAAGGGATTACAACTGCGATGACTGCCAAAAATTGGCGAAGACCATCCGCCGAATTTGTTACGAGTTAATATATACAAGTATTAATACATTATTGATTAAGATTTTTATTCTTAAGACTGCAAACCAATGATAGGATCTCAAAGTAGATTTAAGACGAATGGTCCTAAATCGTACTTTTTTAGTGTTTTTTTCAATTGTTTATTTCTCAGAAGTTTATAAGATTTATGCTAAATTTGATTATGGTAGTAATAAAATATTTCCCAAATAAAAGTTACTTAAAATAAAAAATAATTTGTGTTTATTAATTTCGATAATATGATGGTTTTTCCTTAAGGGGCACGAATTAGGCGAGTTTACGCTAATCGTTTATTATGCACAAATTTTATAAGTAAAACATGTGTAAACCGGAATCGCACGGTATCGAATATTTTTTATGGTTTGACAAGTTTCCGTTTTGACACAGGTGTTTCTAACATAAGATTTCTATGTTAGAGAAACCTGTTCAAAACGGAAATCTGTTCTGTTTCGAATAATTTTTTCCGTTTCAGGTTTCGTTTCGGACAGATTTTACTTTTTGAATATTTTATCTATGAAATTTTCGGGTTGGTTGGACTTTTGTTGCCAAATGCCAAAACAAACACGAAAGTAAAAAAAAAGGGTGGCGTGTTTTACGTCACTATTTTGTATGTTAAGAATCATGAATTTAATAACTACTGTAGCGAATTTCCTCGTATTCCAATACCAGAACGTGAAGCTTCCATAACGCTGTTTATAATGGCGGTGACATGTATAACAAATGAGGAAGAAACCGGAAGTAACTAAGCGATCAATTACTGAATTGCTGATGCTTATCGGTTAATATCCAAGTTGATTCTTTCCATAGACACACTGTAATTAATAAAATAATGTAACGTTCGATACTCCATCCGGTGCCCTCAGTACAATTAAGGGGGGTAAGCGTTACATAATTTTGGAGGCGGGTACGTGCGAAACTTTATAGAGCGTTACAGAGGTAGGAAGATAGTTGAAAAGTATAAAAATAACATTACGTAATTTAGGAACGATTCCTTTTTAGTGGAATACAATATGTTTCAGTTTACGTAATATTATTGGACTGCAATTGAAAAAAATTGTAGACCTATAAATTCCCATTGTCGTTCGTCCGTCTGTCTTTCCTTAATCTTGAGAAAAATGTTAGATAAATGAAATTCAAGAGAAGATATGGAAAGCTTACTAGCAGGAGGGCCCGATTAACAATATAGGAATATCCGAGTAAAACCGGAAGTCACGTTATTTCAATTCGAAAATTTTCCCTGAAAGGAGCTACATAGATGACCAGCATGACTCTATTGTTAAAGAAAAAGCATGATGTACAGGGGCAAGTCACTACTAATTTGAGGTGGAGACCATATGTATTAAGTTAAATAAATTAAAAATATGATTAAGAATTGCAGCCAAGCATTGTGACGATGCCACAATAAATAATTGCTCGTTATTATTAACATATTTTATATTATCCATTTAAATTTATGCTAAATATGAAACAATAATAGGAATTTAATCATATTGCTGTTAACATTACTACTTTCACTTTTCTAATCTAATGTTTTGATTTTCATTTTCATAACACTTTTTACATGCATGTATAAAGTTCTTCGCTCTTTAGATAATGCTGTTAAAGGTGAAAATATTTGCCCTTTAATCTTATTATCTAAAGCGATATCTTAATATATTTCCATATAAAAACGCTCCAGTGATATTTCAATAATTAAATATTCAGTTTTAAGTAGAATTCATTATGAAATGTGTATAAAAATACTATAGCAGATAACATTTTAGTGGTCAAAGTATCTTAATTTAGTTGACAACTCTTTATGATTAATATGATTAAATGTTATCAGTTACTTTTGAAAATTTATCTAAATTTTAACAGCTTACAATAGGAATCATAACATCAAATACCCTTCATTTAAACCAAAAATATAATATGACCGTCGTAGATTCCGTTCCAGTTGGGTAAATAAATGAAATAAATGTTTATAAAATTCTCAAAATTAAAGAAATAATTGACTTGTAACTAAAGGAATTTTTATAATTTTTTTAAGATTGCCGAATCCGGTACCTCCAAATTTTCATATTTTTACTAAATTGGCTTATGATGCTTTACCTTTAGCAATTGTCAGTTTTGCATCTTCAATATCCATAGCTAAAATCTATGCCGATAAACATAACTACGTCATCAACTGCAATCAGGTCAGTCTCTTTACATATTTAATTAAAATTTTATTATTAAAATTGCGTCGTAATTATAATCTCTTGAAAAAAACCACCATAATTTAGGAACTGATTGCTTTAGGAATAGCTAATATTTTTGGAACTTTCTTCTCTTGCATCCCCGCAACTGCATCTCTATCCAGAAGTAACGTGCAGAGTGAAAGTGGAGGAAAAACTCAAGTAAAAGTTACTTTTAATTAATTAAAATAGAAATTATGTTATGACTTTTACTTAATTTTACAAAACTTTTTTCTAGCTTGTAAGCTTGGTGAATTGTATCGGACTTCTGTTTGTTCTACTTTTCTTAGCTCCTATTCTTCAAGGTTTGCCCAGTGTAAGTTTTATTGTTATTACGGCATCAAAAAATTTCTATCAATCAATCTTTCCTTTTTTTTCAGTGTATTTTGGCAGCTATCACAATTGTATCACTGAAAGGTTTGCTGATCCAAATTACAGATTTAAAAAAATACTGGAAAATATCTATTCTGGATGGGGTAAGCGGGTCAAAATTTGCTATAAAATTAATAGTTCTTTAGCATATAATTAATTAGAATATAAGTTCACCGAAGAATATAAATAATGTTTTAAAGAATTTTATTAGAATTAAGTTCCATTCCGAAATGAAAAAACTAAGTTGTTAGATGTGGAAAATTAAATACTTATATAGTTTTTACAGTGTAACACTTTCGACTAAACGCACGCGAGTGCTATGGGCAACCTGTGGCAGTAATAATATACTGCGTTTACTTCCTGCTACATCATTTTCGCAGTAATTAAGTGAATATAATTTTTTAAATTAATCCTTTTTGCATGAATAATATTTAGTTTATTATTTTTTTTTTTAATTTTTATACCAATAGATAACGCTACATCCGCAAGGTAAGGCCATCTAGCTCATTTTTTCCCTCTCCTCTCAGTGGACACTCAAGTTCGGGATTTCGGCCCACAATGGAGCGGCCGGTGGTAAGGGACGACGTTCGAAAAATCCGTTCTGCGAGCCCTAAGAAAGCCATTTTTATGCCCATTATGGATTTGATAGAATCCACAATGGAGAGTGATGTGTCCCAACATATCCGCGTGTCAACCCACCACTCATGCTAATTTCTGAGTGTATTCGTGCTCGAACCCGGATCCCCAGGACGACAGGNTATATATATGAGAATGTTTGTTTGTATAATATACTAGCTGTTACCCGCGACTTCACCCGCGGATGGGTTTTGCAAGCAAATTCCATTTATATTCGTGTTTCAATAACCATAGTAATTATTATATAACACCTACCGCTGAGAATGATAAGAATTGCCGAGAATCAAACGAACTATTTTCAATTTGATCAATTTTCTGGAACCTTAACAATCGTTCTATAATCGAACCAATATGCAATAACAAATTCTAATTTAAAACGGTTCGAACATTTTTAAAATCGAAGTAGATAAAAATATTTATAACAATGTCTGAAATGTTATTAATTTAATACACCTAAGTACTCAATGAAGACTAAAGCTTAGTTCACACTGAGCGCGATTCGCTGGCGAAAACGAAAAACAGAGCGAATAACCCGTCAAACGAGTCATGTTTGACCGGTTATTCGCTCTGTTTTTCGCTTTCGCCAGCGAATCGCGCTCAGTGTGAACTAAGCTTAAACGTAGTTGAAAACAAAAAATCGCATCTAAACTAGTACAGTAAAAGCCGTTCTTCCGGTTAATCCTTAATTCTCTCCCCCCCGCGGGGGAATTTCGAAAAATCCCTTCTTAGTGTGCGTTAGTGGAGAGGGAGAGCATTAAGACTTAACCGGAAGAACGTCTTCTACTGTACCATTTTAGATGCGATTTTTTGTTTTTATCTGAGTTTTAGTAGGGTAGACCATGGGAATGCACACTAAGAAGGGATTTTTCGAAATTCCCCCGCGGGGGGAGAGGGGAGGATTAATGCTTAACCGGAAAAACGGCTTCTACTGTGCTATTTTAGATGCAGTCTACACAGTTAGGGTACGTCATGAAAACGCACACTAAGAAGGGATTTTTCGAAATTCTCCCGCGGGGGGGGCGAGGGAGAGGATTAATGCTTAACCGGAAAAACGGCTTCTACTGTACCATTTTAGATGCGATTTTTTGTTTTCAACTACATTTAGTCTTCATTGAGTACTTAGGTGTATTAAATTGATAACATTTTAGATATTGTTATAAATATTTTTATCTATTTCGATTTTAAAAATGTTCGAACCGTTTTAAATTCGAATTTGTTATTGCATATTGGTTCGATTATAGATCGATTGATCAAACTGAAAATAGTTAGTTTGATTTTCGGCAATTCTCATTATTTTCAGCGGTAGGTGTTATATAACAATTACTATGATTGTTGAAATACTGAATATAAATGGGGTTTGTTTGCAAAACCACCGCTGGCGAAGTCGCGGGTAATAGCTAGTACAGTGGCATGCCGTGACATTTGACGACACGGAAGTTAGTTTCTGTTAGAAGCCGACTTCCAGGGGCATCAGTTAATTGCGCGTCAGTGATGGTCTAGGGCAGGGTGGCCAACAGTTTTTGTCCCCGGGCCGAATTGGAAAGAAAACTTTTTCTACGGGCCGAGAACCAGAGGCTGCCCTAGGAAGATTTTGAGGTGGTGCGAGATCTCATTATGGTGTCACCCCTTTGAGACTGAATTGTAGATAGAGATTACAGATACATTTTTCACATTATCATACTTTATCAACATTCTACGCTGTACTTAGGAAATTTGCAATGGAGGGTTAACTCTAAACGAACAGTGAGTTGTTGACAACCTTTTTTTTGGCGTTAGAATCTTTCATTGAGCTATTCGGACTTCATTACCTAATATTGAAACATTGATCGCGGGCCACATAAATTTATTAGGCGGGCCGTATATTGGCCATGTCTGATCTAGGATCCTTCGTATTCGTTTGTTCGATAAGCCAGTAAAAACCGTAGACTTCTTTAAATGTATTTTTTAATATCACAATTGCATTCTGAATCGCTAGCCACGACATAAGGGCTAAGATTAAAAATAAAATAAAATAAACTTACTTGATGAAATAAAATGTGTGGTGGATGTACAGTACATACCTGGTACAAAATATTCTTCAATTGTACGAATATACTTTTAAAGAATATTATAATTAAATATACCTTTATAAAGAAATGTACATAAAAATAACATAAAATATTCTTTACTTTTTAAATCTTAAAACAATGCACTTAGTCAAAGAGCGCCCTACCAGTGGCTAATGATTGGGATCAGAGACGGTCCTGCAGTGTATGCATGCACGCGGGCTGCCAAATTCCCAGGGTGCCGATACCGGTCAATGTTCAAATGCCTGTTTAGTCGCATTACTAGTATACCTCAAAGAACGCGACAGGTTGTAAATTTTAAACGTTTCTCGCCATAGCTGTAAAAATCTAAATATGTTAAACTTAATAAATTGTCCGTCGTTTGTTTTCTAACTAGTTCGTTTTAGGACCAGGTGGTGTCCACGGAAATTTCCAAAATTTACTTTTCAGTCACTCTCATTAAAGTGGAAAAATTTCTTTCTTTATTACATCTAACATTACCAAGAAATCAGTCCCCACTGTACTCGGCTAAAGATTGGTACGGTTAAGCTTTTGTTTAAATATTCCGGCTCTTTCAGCAGGGTTTTATTTATGTTCCCAATTCCCTAATCTCTTAATTATTTCACTACTTCTTAAGTAGAAATAAGTCGAAACCGGTTACTTTGTACTCGAATATTTGTAAAATCTCGGGAAAAAGTGGAAAGACAAATTTTTATGACAACGGATACATAAATCGTAAATTTAAGGAAAATAAATTCTAGAGCTTTTTCTGTACCTCGTGCATCTCTCTCATTCATTAAATTTAGTTGTAAACGATGCTACCAAAGTAACAGTTAATTTTTTAACATTGTACAAGAATTCTACATGTTTTTTCCTGCATCCCCTTAAAGATGGGATATACGAAATTGTAATATCATTGTTTAACATTGAAATCCGTGAGTAATATAAAATCGGAGAACGAAATAGAAATATCGAATATTTTAATGGATTTTTTAAAACTCCTGTCAACTATATACAACTATCATAAAAACGTACCAGTAAATTCTAATCAGTTGGATTAAGTTATAAATCTACTCGTGATTCACGTAATCGGGAGAAGGCGGCCAAATATCTAGCGGGCAGGCGGCTAACAACCCAGAACCGATCCTGGATAGAATTGGATACGGTATACGTGTAGCATCCACCCAAGGTCCCTAGGCCTCCACTACCTAAACCGAGTGAGGTCAACGACTTTAAAGTACAAGGATAGCCAGATCCCGTATATTTGTTAGCGTGACCGTGGATCTATGTGACGTCACAGCAAGCCCTCTACTTCAACATGACAGATCTTTCAAATAACAAAATACGATAAAATATTAAATCACTTTTTAATTAATTATTAAATTACTACTAAATGTAAACTACTGTAGAATTTTCGGATTTAATAAGTGTACTGTACGTCAATAAATTTACAAGTCTTTTGTCTAATATTTATTTAACAAATTAATGAGCTATATTTTTTATTATGTGATTATCTTACTTAACTTTTTAATTTTTTTTCGACAATCACCATTTTCAGAAGGCATTCTTTTCAATATTTTATAGTTTTCTTGTTTAAGATTTCTATAATTAATTCTTATTATAGTTCTTAATTTACAAAAATCTTTTATTAAAGTAAAAGGTAAAACTGTTTCCACTGACTAATTCTGTACAACTCCGGGGCCTTTTTTATACGATTCATCGTGATATATTTCGAAATATTTATTCCATTCTATAATTTTTGCTAGCCATTCATAAGTAGGTTTAATAAGCCCTCCATAAGATAAATGTTGCACCCATGACGGAATGCTATAGTTGTAATGATTTGTAATTTTGTTAGTGGAATTAATTAAGTTTGGGTATTTTTCTTTATATTTATAGGCAAAATATCCTGCTATATACTCGAGAGCATCGTAGGTAGTTTCTTCAGAGATTGTTTTAAAGTCTAGATAAGAGTTTCCTGAAGATTTATTTGAAGAAAAAGTAGTTTTACATTCAGTATATTGGTCTGTATTTTCATTTGATACTTCTACACATGCTTTCTCTAAAACTTTGGGTATAATATATTCCTCTTGTCTTCGATCTGTAGTATTTACTTTTGACTCTAAAATACCAGGATTCTTACCTAAAATAATCAATCTAATCCTATATATAGCATTTAATGGGCTTGGATGTTCATTAGGACCTCGTCTTCTAATTTGAAAAAAAAAAAGTTTTCCAGACATTCTTGATTTAAATTGTGAGTGCAGATGTATTTTATATCAAAAGTCGATTTCATATCTTGAAAAAGACCAATTAGTGATTTCATTGAGATTATCATTCCTTTCTGGAAAATTTGGAGGGCATTTTTTCCCACTTGCTCTCATTGTTGAGATTATTTTTATCATTTTATTTAAATGTTCTTCTTGTAATTCCAAGTCTACACCATATCCATTTTTGCTTGGAACAGAACCTTTTGGTGCATAGCTATTAAAAATGTCGAACCACATATTTATATTTCTAATGTACGTTTCATTGATAATAATAATTGATTTATAATAAACGTTTCATTGATATTCACATTCAATTCTTTCCATAAACTTATGTTACTGCAACTACAGTCACTGACGCAAGCTACTACATTATACGATAGTAAATAAAGTTCTGCTATTAATTTTAAAAGTATTTCTCTTCATCATTTTTTGATCAAACCCGATGTAAACAGGTTGCTTCCAATTTGAAAAAAGAAGGTTATTATTGCAACCATACACAACACACCTAGTACTCAGCATTTTGTTCTTCACCTAATATAAAAATATAGCTTTAAATATTTAATGACTTAATTTAATATTTCTGTAATTGTTTTATTTGACTAAGTTTTTTTTTATAAGGTAAGATGATTTAAATATAAATCACTTCGTTAATCACAAAATTGGACGAATATTAAAAGCGAAAACTAAACACGTGCACACCCTGCTCTATGTAAACAGAGAAGTCAGGTCTCGTGCTGACGTCACTAACTTGGCATTCCTGGCTAACATTGTAGAATAGGGATCTGGCTATCCTTGTAGTATATAGTCCTTGGGGTGAGGTTGGTGCTCTGTAAAGCGCGTGCGCGAATCTGGCTTTTTGGATGCTGACAATACAGAGCTTCCACTCCGCCACTAATATTCGGATATACAATAGCGATCTTATCTTTTTTTTCACGTGTAATATAGCAATTTGTAATAAGATACATAATGCGGTTATAATAAAATATTGAGCGATTATTTTCATATAATAAAAATTAATATGTATTTATTTTTTAGAAAATACAGCACGCCACTGAAATTTTTTAGAAAATACAATGACGGCACGCCACTGAGCTAATATAAATATATATTTGATGAATATCTTTCATATAATTGGAATCAGAATAAAATTAATGTAATCGCTACCATTTTTTGCAGATGATATGGCTGGTAACATTTCTTGCAGTCATCATTTTAGGTATAGATATTGGCTTAGGCGTAGGTGTTGGATTTTCGCTTTCAACGTTAATATTGAGAACTCAGAGGTATGTAGATATAACACACTGTATTAAATTTGTCCCCAACTGTTTACCGTTAATAATCATTCGATTTATTTTAGGCCAAGATCTTATTTACTGGGTGAAGTAGGAAATACTAATGTTTACGTTCCAGTTAAAAAATATTTAGTGGTAAATATTACACTATGCATTCAGTATTTATTTTACTAATTAATATAGAGAACACTTTTATTATTTTTATTAGTATTAATTAATGTAAATAAATGCGGTGTTTATTATTGTCAATAATTCTTATGGAATTGGTAATTATTTGAAATAATTCAAATTTTTTTTAGGCAAAAGAAATTCCTTCAGTGAAAATATTTTATTTTGGTGGTCCGTTACATTTTGCAAATGCCGAATATTTTATGAATATGATAGAAAATAGAGTTTCTGTAAATATCAGGTCGGTCTCATTGTACTTTATGTCTGTAATAATTTTATTCTTATGTGAACGCGATAATAACCAGAGGAAAATTACACATTTCATCGCTCTTTTGCATCGAAAATTATTTCATAGTGTTGAAATGCATTATGAACATAGGTGATTCACACATTCAAACTACACTTATAACAAGGATTATTTCANGAATATTAAAAGCGAAAACTAAACACGTGCACACCCTGCTCTATGTAAACAGAGAAGTCAGGTCTCGTGCTGACGTCACTAACTTGGCATTCCTGGCTAACATTGTAGAATAGGGATCTGGCTATCCTTGTAGTATATAGTCCTTGGGGTGAGGTTGGTGCTCTGTAAAGCGCGTGCGCGAATCTGGCTTTTTGGATGCTGACAATACAGAGCTTCCACTCCGCCACTAATATTCGGATATACAATAGCGATCTTATCTTTTTTTTCACGTGTAATATAGCAATTTGTAATAAGATACATAATGCGGTTATAATAAAATATTGAGCGATTATTTTCATATAATAAAAATTAATATGTATTTATTTTTTAGAAAATACAGCACGCCACTGAAATTTTTTAGAAAATACAATGNAATTTGTAATAAGATACATAATGCGGTTATAATAAAATATTGAGCGATTATTTTCATATAATAAAAATTAATATGTATTTATTTTTTAGAAAATACAGCACGCCACTGAAATTTTTTAGAAAATACAATGACGGCACGCCACTGAGCTAATATAAATATATATTTGATGAATATCTTTCATATAATTGGAATCAGAATAAATTAATGTAATCGCTACCATTTTTTGCAGATGATATGGCTGGTAACATTTCTTGCAGTCATCATTTTAGGTATAGATATTGGCTTAGGCGTAGGTGTTGGATTTTCGCTTTCAACGTTAATATTGAGAACTCAGAGGTATGTAGATACAACACACTGTATTAAATTTGTCCCCAACTGTTTACCGTTAATAATCATTCGATTTATTTTAGGCCAAGATCTTATTTACTGGGTGAAGTAGGAAATACTAATGTTTACGTTCCAGTTAAAAAATATTTAGTGGTAAATATTTATATTACACTATGCATTCAGTATTTATTTTACTAATTAATATAGAGAACACTTTTATTATTTTTATTAGTATTAATTAATGTAAATAAATGCGGTGTTTATTATTGTCAATAATTCTTATGGAATTGGTAATTATTTGAAATAATTCAAATTTTTTTTAGGCAAAAGAAATTCCTTCAGTGAAAATATTTTATTTTGGTGGTCCGTTACATTTTGCAAATGCCGAATATTTTATGAATATGATAGAAAATAGAGTTTCTGTAAATATCAGGTCGGTCTCATTGTACTTTATGTCTGTAATAATTTTATTCTTATGTGAACGCGATAATAACCAGAGGAAAATTACACATTTCATCGCTCTTTTGCATCGAAAATTATTTCATAGTGTTGAAATGCATTATGAACATAGGTGATTCACACATTCAAACTACACTTATAACAAGGATTATTTCATTCTTACTTTCATCTTATAATTAACTTATAATTGTATGATGAACTTAGGAATAAATAATCCCTTCACTATTTTTACATTATATTTAATCATTTAAATATATTTATCCATTATTATTCAACTATTCTAATTTGAAAAGTTAAAAAATAACTTGAAAATTGAATATTTTTCTTTTAAAAAATTCAATTTATATTCAGTAAATATAATTGTCTAAATTTATAGAAAGCTGAGAGCTGAAAAAGAAAAATCCGAATGTAAAATTCAACGGAATATATCAATTGCTTCCATCATTAGTTCGGTAAATAATTAAATATCATTTATTTTTATATCTAAATATTTTTCTTATATGAAATTATTAAATTAGAGTATCGAAATGGACGAAACGTCAGAAATACCATCGTATATTATTATAGATTGTTCAGGATTTAATTATATAGATACACCTGGAGTCATTGCATTGAAAAAAGTACAAAATTTAGATTATGAAGAATTTACTTTTTTTTTATTTTGAATATTCTATAACATTAAATCACTTATATCATCTCAGGTAATTGAAGAATTTCGTGAAGTCGGTATTACAGTTTACATTGCAGCTTGTCCGGGTAAGTACCAGTTAATCGGATGAAGTTAGAAAAATTTCGTTTATTTTTAACTTAAAAATTATTAAATAGCAAATGTCAACGCAATGCTTAAGAAAATGGACTTCTTTACCGATGTATCACATAATTCAGTGTATCCAACTGTTCACGATGCTGTTCTTCATTGTAATCACGAAATTCATGTATCTGTATAACATATAACTTACTTTTTTAATATAAAATAAAATTTCATTTGCTACTGTTTTGTAGTTTTTCATTTTACATACATACAGTGGGTGATCGGTTAACGAACATAATCCATTCCAAGACTTTGTTCGCTATCTGAATTGTTCGTTAACCGATTATCGATTTACCATAGGTTTTAATGGGAATTTAATTAATTCGTTCTGGAGACCCCCAAACATAAAAAAATATATACTTTCTTATTACGTTTATTTATATGTAATAATAAAAACATACACAGTCTCGCGTTTTTATTAGTCATGTTTTTTTCCGTTTGTAGGGGTTAAAGAATCTGTCTAATGTCAATTGCTTTTCTCTCTTCTTCAGGATTTTTCAGAAGTAATTAATAGCATTGTAATTGTAGAGATCATCAAGCCTATTAACCTCAACCTGGTTTGGATGCCATTCTAAAACCGTTGTTCTGACATCCTCCCACTTCTTAAAAAGATGTTTAATAGCAGATATCGGCATTAATCCTCTTTTTCAGAAGAAAACATCTTGCTGAGTTTCTTAGTGTTCTTCATTCAAGAGATCTTGGCGTTCTTCTGTCGTCAAATCCATTTCAGGTTCCATTATGAGCTCTTCAATGTTCTTTATTTCTCAGATGTGATTTTTGTTACTCCTTTAGCTGCTTGAGTCTTCTTGATTATACTGTATCTTTCTTCGATAAGATTGAACTGCAGCCTACTGTAGACCTGTTAAGCCTTACTGCACAGCAAAATCAGACATCTTCTGCCCATTCTCTACCTTTGCTATTATACTCTCACCTTTCGAAAAGAAAAACAGACAAAACTTAACGAGTGCCTACCCGACAGTCTCGCGAATACAGTACATAAAAGAATTGTTTTGTCAGAAAAATAAAAGACTGGAATTACAAGGAAGAGTTTCAAAGTTCAGAGGAATACTATCCGATCGGTATATACCGGCTTGAGCGTCGATGTCGACGTCTCCCAAAAGTTTCCGAAAAGTTTCGAATTGTTGTTCGAAGACACTCCGAAAGGTTTCGAATTGTTGTTCGAAGACAAGGGAAGACCAATCGGTATTCATTATTTTACGTCGCTTCTTCTTGTGTTTGTTCTATGGGGTGTTCGTTGTCCGAACATAAAAATCTTTCGCGAAAGTGTTTGTTATGCGATCACCCACTGTATTAAAAATTAAAATAATCTAGTTTACGAAGCAGTTATTAATTTCAGAACGTTAGCTCAACCTTCCACCCCATTGTGGGCCTGGCCAAACCCATAATGGGCTTGATTAAAAAAAAACCCTTTTAGCACCCACATGGCGAAGAGTTAAAATAGAGGACCCATAGCAAAGCCTCTATAGACCCCGAGTGCAAATTATTCGCACGCCGCTCTGGCGGCAAATATTTATATAACACGTAGAAAAATCCAAAGGGTTTCTTCTCCATATGAACCCTTACCAAAGAAAGAAAAAAGGGTTTCTTGGTACAGAAAATCAAGTAAAAATTTTCAATTTCAAGTTACCAAATTTTAAATGTTCTAATAAAATATACAATTAAAAATAGAACTCTCATTAACTGGAGTGCAATTTTTCTCTTTTAGTCAATAATGCCTGATATAATTTTAACATGCGGTTTTCAACCAGTCCATACTGACAAAATTTTTACACTTTCGAGACGGAAGAAAGGAATTTTACTTGAAAAGGCTAAGCATTTAGCTGCAATTAAAGAAATTAAAAACGATGGAGGAAGTAGTTACAGCTACTTGCCTACCCGAAATGAAAATGAATGAGAAATCATATTATATTTGTACTAAGGCATTTTTTTACATTTAAATTGCCAAATTTGCACTTTTAAATAATTTTAGATGTCAGCATAACCTTTCTGCAATAAACAAACAATGATTTGCATGACAACAAAACAACGTTGTATATCGCTGCTTTTATTATTTATTAAGCTATATACTGTTGAATTTTTCTCTAATAAAAATATTTCGTACATACAGTAGAGCGTCGTTTATCCGAATCAATTGGGGACTGGGGTGGTTCGGATAACGAATCATGTACGAAAAAATATATTAATTTATCCCATGTTGAAATTTCTCTCCGTTGCGTGTCGCTTCGCGTTGAATTTTCGTCGATGTTAAGCCTAACAAAGACTATTGTATTGTTAAAAATTATTTCTTTATTTTGTATAAACAAAATAAATTTATTGAAAAATATAAAAACAATAAAAATTATACTTCAGATGTTAATTTAGTATCGAAAACGTAATACTGTATTTGAATAGCCCGAGAAATAGCCGAAGATTGCAGCGCCACAGCACTAGCAAACATTTAAATTTGCCGACTGGAATGCTTTCGGATAAACGACGCTCTACTGTATTTGCGATTTATTTTTAATACAAATTAATTTTCAGTTATCAGCAGATAGAAAAATAGTTACAGCAACGTGTAAGTGCAAGGGTCATCAAGGGTATCCATGGTCAGCACAAACATGTAGCAGCAACGATTTTTGCATTAAATAATTATAAAGACTAAAGTGTTACCAGTGGAAAACAACAATGGGGAATTCTACATAGGAAGATATACACATCAGGTGGATGTCGCCTTAGTAATTGTGTAATTCCAAAAAGGATAAAAATACCAGCATTATCATCAAATGCACCAACATTTTTATTATATCAAAGAGTAAAACACATTAATATATTAATTTAATAATTATAATTATATAAATCCCCTTAAGCCTCAAGCCCGAGATATCTCGGGCAAGTTACATTAATTGTGCTCTTTCTTCAATGTTGAGAGCTGAATTCAATGAAGATGCACAATGTCAAGTGCTGCTGATTTAATCAACACAGTTCACGAACAATATGAGGAATTACAAGTATATTTAAAATCTTTAATTACTCCACTATTTGAAAGTGAACGTATGAATAATTGTTATAAAATTGTTGAAAAACTACCTACAAAGATAAAACTAAAAATATTATCCATTATAAATATAAAAATCCATTAAAAAATGTTATTTCAGCAAAAATGTTAAAATTTTATAATGATAATGTGATTATCAACTTCCAAAAATTACTCAAATAGCATATATCACAATAAAATAAAGCACATGTCCAGACTGGTTCATTTACAAACGATACAGATTAAGCAGCTCTATAGCTCATTCTATAAAAAGAAAAAGCAATTTTGAAAAATTGCCTTAGATTTTTAAATAAATTCAAATGAATAATTGCAACTGATTATGGAATTAAATTGGAGAAAATTGCAAAAATTTCATTTTCGCTTAAAAATATATTAGAATAATTGATGCAGGAGTTATTTGTAATGAAGCTCTCTAGATTTGTGCAAGCCCTGATGGTATATGAAAAAAAAAGAGATAAGCTTACTCGAAATTAAACGAATTTCTTGTCATCAAGAAAAATAGAAGCTGTAAATGGTGTCCCTTTTAGCCTACCAAATTAAGAGCTGTATATCTGCCAAAATATTGTTATATATGGTAGTTGGTAAAAAATAAGTAAAATTTTTTACAAACTCATTGCTAGTCCAAGTTTTATTTTTTTGATTAATTATTTAAATTGAAATGATATTGCTTTCAACAATTCTCATAAGAAACATTCAGATGTAATTTCAACAAAAGAATCAAATTTCGAGATAAATTAAGCGCGATTCACATTTAAAAATTTCCATTGGATACTCCGTTTATTCGGATGTAATTTAATGTAAGTCTAAAATAAAATTATTGCAATTGGAAATCGCATCAGTACTTTAATTTTTACTGTAAATAAAACAATTCCGACTAATATTAATAATTTATATACGTGATGCTTAATTTCTTTTACTTTTTCAACGTCTGAGCATTGAAGTTTTTATTATTATTACAGCAAATTTCATTTCAATTTAACATTTGACATATGTTTAACTTATGAAATACTGACTTGTAACTCATTTTACTGTTACATAGTATTTTAAAACAATAATTATGTTGTTTTTAAACAGAAATACGTGCTTTTACAGAGATTTGTTAACATTTTCTTCATTATGTTTTCTTTCATACTTTGTAGATAAATCAACAAAATTGAATAAAAATTTGGAAACATTACAGACAGCGATGAACAGCAACTATATTAACTTTAATTTGTACCAAAAAAACAATATACACGAAAAAATTATTTATTAAAAATACATATAATAATAAAATACATGTTTTCTCAGGATTTACTATTAAACTACTATCATCCACCCGGCACTAGGTATTGCGGCCGACGTACACGTTTTCGCGATGAAAACATCGGCTGCAACCTCTATACTACTGTCTTATGGTAGGTTTGGAAGAACGTTCAGTAGGCACTGCTTTTGTTACTTGCTTCGATCTCGTAAATAATAGTAAGTTGCATGGTCCTGAGGAATTAGGTTATGATCCGTGTTCAACCTTATCAACCTTTGGTGGATCATGCAAATAGGTTCCGACATCACTACTCCCCACCAAGAAATACACGTCAACGAAACATTAATATGTACAGTACGAAGAACCGAACCCACCTGTTTCAGTATATGTACAATAAAAAACATAATCGCTGGGGAATCAAACAAGTTTTTAGATGCTGAGACTCCATCTCGCACTACTGCCTGGGATTTTTCACTTATCGAGGGGCCGAGTCTCAGGAGAAGGATAAAAGTCGTACTATAATTGATGAAAGAGGTAAAATACTCCGTCGAATATTAAGAGCAGATAGATGTCCTATATGCAACAATCAGGGTGGAGACCGTGCTCATACAGTTAGATATTCCCAATGAATGAATTACCTGACAAAATTCGTTGTGGACATGTCAGATTCTAAACAGGAAACCGACGATGATATGAGCTCTGGAATATGCACCAGAAAATGATAAAAAAAGATTTTGAAGTATATGCTTAACTTTTATTTCATTTATTCAAGTCTTTAGACTTGAACATACACGACTTCTAGTTGGCTTCATTCAAAATTGTCTAAATTAAAAAAAAAAAAATATATATACATATTTAATTTTCTGAAAAAATATTTTCTTTGAAATACAATTTAACTATAATTATCAGAAAAAAATTAGAGTGCAAAATTTTATATATCATATAAAATTCATTTAATTTTAATCATCATGAGCTTATAAGTTCATACAATAAATATAATTAATATTTAAGGCATATTTTGAATAAATTTTCTGAAATATTTCGACATTTTATTTAGAATCAGTCATATTTTCGAATTATGTGCGCGCGCACTATATTAAACTAGTCTTATAAGGATTGACGAACAGGTTAAAAAATAATTGATACAAAAATAAGTAATGGCGCACTTAAACATATTAATCATTTCGACGCTATGTTTGAAGGAGAAACTTTACAAGGAGCACCAAATCCAATAATTCTGCTTGCATTAAGAGAATGTACAGTACTGTACAATTAAAACAGTATATTATGATCGCAATAAAAATGAAAACGCGATATGAAAAGCCAATATCTTAGCGTATTTGGTTGCTTAATTGCATCTGGCAATTCGCGTTTTTCATGAACTATAGAGGGCACTGCATTTTTACAAAATGGCTACTTTATCTGGGTCACTTATAACTACTAATGTAAAATTAATCACACATTACTGTCCGTTATAATATATGCTGCTTGTAGCTGTTTATCGAGAAAGTTTATAGAAAGAACAATTATTGCTAGCAGGACACGTCATTATGTGGTAATGAAACAAATGAGCGAGATTGTTCTATACATATTTGTGCCCTTTGTGTTAAAAAACATCAGCTTTAACATCTGTCCCATTAGGGCCGGATTTACAAGTATGTAAGCTGTTGCTTAGGGCCTCGACTTTCAAGGGGCCTCAAACACTTCTACAAAAAAGAAAATTGAAGTCAAATTTTGTAATAAAATTTTTTTTACAAACCAACAAAATATACTTTACGGTTAAAGTCCAGATACGTATACCGTCATGGCGGCTCATCTCTGATTCCAGCAAACAAAAGAAAGGAAACAGTGGGGACGCATGTTCTAACCTAATCTATTCTAATAAATTACCATAATTATTACCAACCAAATTATTAGAATAGGTTAGGTTAGAACGTGCGTCCCCACTGTTTCCTTTTGTTTGCTGGAATCAGAGATGAGCCGCTATGACGCTATACGTATCTAGACTTTAACCAATATTTTTATGATTGACTTCTAAAATTGTCAAGAATTAGTAGGAACCTTACAGTTTTAAGCATTTCCAGCTTAGAGCCTGGAAATGCTTAAATCCGTCCCTGTGACCCACACAAAATTACTGGCATTTTAAACTTTAAGTCCACTCTTTCGGAAGTTCATAAATATAACCGACCGATTTCTGAATAATCGTGTTTTTCATGCGGGAAAACTTGCATTGGGCTCCCGTATGGCTTTAATTAAAATTGTAATTTGGAACGCGACAGCTTTGCTTTTTCTATTGCTATTCATCTTTACTGCTGATAATACACAAGAATGATTCAAACGACCCAAATATAATATTTTTGTTTTTAAACACTAGAGGGCGAGAATCCGGTGAAAATGCGAATAGAGCTTATTCCTCAAACATGGCGTCGAAATGATGGTAGAATGTACTAGAAACATGCTATATCTAGTTATACATGATATATATAAGGCACTTACGACATGTTATATAATCAGTTATATAAAAGTTATTCGCTTAAGACCATGATCCTCTTTCTGGTTCGACAATCCTAGGAGGTCCCCTCAATTTCAAAATATCAATCTTACACCCTTTTAATTTGTATTTAAAATTTAATGCCACACTACATACAATTTCTAACGAATATTTATCTCTAGCAAAGACTCGATTTTATAAAAATGTAAATTATAATTTCTTAACAATATTTGTCAAACACGTTGACGAAAAATACTCGAACAGAACAGAATTATTTAAATTTCCTAATTCCTAGATCCTTTAAATTAATTATTTACTCATTTAAATATCCTAATATCTTTTTATAAAAATCAAGATAACTTACCGATGAAAATGGATGAAAAGTTAAACGTTCAACCTTCCATCCTCACCATTTTACATTTCAAATGACTAATCACATTTCACAGCCAAGGAACACGTTACCGGACGCCTGGTGACAAATTATGGAACTACGGTCTTAAAATTATCGTATCAGCAGAAAAAAAGAAAATAAAAAATTTTAAAAGAAAAATTTTACTTAAATTATTTGGTATGTTAATACATGTTTTATTATATTTTTAAATTAATGTTTTCATTTAGAGACGTCCGAGCGGTTAGAGTAGCAGTCTACCGCTTCGGGGAACCCTGAATCGAATCCAAACTGGGTTGACAAATCCCAAGAATGTTTCGACCCGAATCCACAATGGACTTGCTAAAAAAAAAAAAAAGCCCTCTTAGTGTCCACAGGCTGCAAATAATTTTAAAAAACAACATATAATGTGAAAACATTTTTTTGTTAATTAACAAACTCGTTTGTTTGTTTAGTTATGGCAACGCAACACTTGGGCGATCTGTCTAGGGGGAATGCCTTCCGGGAGGTCTTTTTAAGGGAAACTGGTCCCTAATTAGGCGTTACAGACGTGGAGAAAACCCGGAAAACTTCACGTGGCCAGCCCGTCCGAGCGAGGCGCGAACTCACGAACCGAACTCCCAGTGTTCAGGATACGAAGACTGCTTGACACACTGGTGGACACACTTAACAAATTTGAAAATTGATTGTATGTGGTTGTCTCAAATGTCACCATTAATCAATAAAATATTCAAAACAAAAAAAAAGTATACCAGTATAAATGAAAAATCAGTTGCGTTTAAATTATCTAATTTTGGAAAATTCAGCTTTTAAGCAACAATTTTACAGATCTTATATAAGTTTAAGAAGAGGACTGTTTACTCTTGTAGAAAATACACTCGTCATCATCCTCACCAGCTTCACTTTTCTTGTCGGGCTACAATGTGCATGCAATTATTAATTGATAATTACATATCATCAATTGGTGTTAGTGATGTGCAGCCATAAATAATAATACTTTTGATTTTTATATTGTGGTAAAAAGCAGACTTCAGAAAATGAGAAATTAATAATTTACAACATCTTTTCTCAATTATTTTTTAATATTTGCTTTATAATTGACTAATACATCACCATAACTCTAATAATTCAAGTAGAGCACTTTTCTTAAGTGCTCTACTTGAATTATTAGAGTTCTTTTGAATTATTAGAGTATTTCTCAATCATTTTAACTGAAATCGAATCGAGCCATAATTCAAAAATAGAGTATATCATCTGAAAGCGTATATATTGATGACTTTATAATAGTGGGAAAATATTTATTATTCTTTTAATTGAGAAATGTGACGGCTGTATAGTCGAAAGGTTAAGGTGGCAGTCCACCGCTCTGGGAGACTCGGGTTCGAATACTAACTGGGTCGAAAAATCCCCAGGAATTTTTCGGAGGTGGTCCGTTCGGATATGTCGGGCCCCTCCAGGGAAACAATTCGCCTTTTTCTTCCTACAGGCAGCACCTGGCCCTGCCATGAAAGCTTTCTCCTACAGGATGGTAATTTGTTCTCAGCCTTCAAGAACTTTGTGAAGAACTATTTTCGCCGTACCTCAATCAAGTGAATAGTGCTCTAAGGACGTCTCTGCATCCACGTTATTGTACTGTTTGTTTTTGTCACTGTGCCTCCCACTTCCACTTCTGCAGTTCCTGCATTAATGGCCCTATTTGGTGTATGTTCTACTTGTATATATTTGACTCATTGTATTTTTCCTCATTGTAGTTAATGTAAATTGTTTGTGGATTCTATAGCTATATATATCTCATTCATTGTATTCTTTTAATTTGTACTCCTTTATTGTACTTTATTCGTAATGTACTGTATCCTATCTTACTTTGTATTTTATGTCATACTACTTAGTTTTTGTACTTTACTTTATTGCACCGTATGCTACTCTGATTTTATTTTATTTTAACTTTATTTTATTATTTTCTCTTATCACTACTCAATTGTTGTTACTTTATTCATACCATGTACCATTTATTAAATCTACGTGTTCTGACCCCACCCGGTTGTGCCTATGCGGTGCCGGGTCTTTGTACTATCTTTTGTACATAATAAAGATTAAGATTGATTGATTGATTGATGTCGGGCCCCGTCCTTCACCGTCCTTCATCCAGCCCCATTGTGGGCCTGGCCGAACCCATAATGGGCTTGCAAAAAGATGCCCTCTTAGTGCCAACAGGGCGGAAAGAGTTTAAAAAAAAAAAGACCCGAGATCGAATCCGGACGGGTCGGGAAAGCCCCAAGTATTTTTCAGATGTTGGTTTGTCCGAATATGTCGGGTCCAGTCCCTCACCACTCGGCCATCCCATTGTGGGTCTGGTCGAATTCATAATTGGTTTGCTGAAAGAGGCCCTCTTAATGCCCACAGGGCGCATGATCGTAGATAATTTTAATTTGTTTCAAAGTAAAAAATGATCTTTTCCTACTACTATTGGTATAATCAATACTTATATATATATAATCGTACAACAATTGTTATATTGGGGAATGTGCATTCGATTAGCGACTCCGTTATTGCTTTTATAATGTTCAGCTTTTGATAGTGTCTCGTCGGTTAATAAATTTGTGCTTAAAACACAAACATTCTTCAATAATCCTTTTTCGAAATCAGTTGAATATTCAAATTCAAATTAAATAGAGATTTTTGTGTCCAAAATTGAAACACACACACACACACATTTAAGTTAAATATACTCAGTTCTTATGAGTCCTTGGATCAATGGCACCCTTGGGATATAGCCCATTTAGCCCAATGGGTAAGGAGGACCTGTTAGATCGGCTAATATAATGAAAGATAAAGGATGCTGACTTTCAATGTCTGGAAAATCCGAGGTTAAGATCCGAATGTGGATTTCTTATGGTGGATTTTTGGAGAATAACTTATTGTATGGCCCAGAGCACTCGTAACTTTTATCTATGAATTTTTTTATTGTAATTTAATATTTCATCGAATTATTTCATTGGTTATTTATTCTTAAAAAATAAAGATGAGATTCTTAACTTTTCGTAACGTTAATTAATGAAAACATAAATTTATTGAAGTGATAAGCGTAAATAAATCGCTGAAGCTTCTGTTCCTTTATATATTTACAATAAAATGGTAAAATGATCGAAGAACAATACATTATAACCACAAATAAACATTTTTGATCACCTCAAGTTTGCAGATCAAGTCAACACCCAGCAGTGGCGGATGCAGAAAAGCCCTTTGGGTTCTTCTGGATCCGCCACTTCTAGGTGTTGACTTGATTTGGAAACTTGAATGGATCCGCCACTGCATTATGAATGTTTTTAAAAACAATCTTTTAAAGTTCGAACAAATAAATTAATTTTTTTTTGTGTGTTAATGGGGAAGGTTTAAGCCTCTGTAGAGCCTCGTGGATGTCCCTTACAGTGATTTACAGTGATAAACGTTCCATTTAAATTATATCAAGTTATTTAAAAAAACAATTAATATAATCTATAATTATGAAAAATTTTTAATAATATAAATAATTATTATAATCCATAATTAATATATAGTCCTACGGGCCTATACCCATAATTATTATTATTATTATTCGGCTATATTAGGTAAACATCTTTAATTATAAAAAAAATACATTTTATTTAGTGTGAAATATTAATTATATAGTAAAGGTTTATTTTGTTTTAATTGATCTTACAATTTATATATTGAAAATAAATAATTTTTAATATGGCGCTTTATCATTATTGGCGATGCGATACCGTGGAATGTTGCAGGATAATGTTTTCCTCCGTAAGATGCATATGCTGTCTGTAATTGTACTGTTTAGAAAGTAAACATGTTTAATAAACTGTTGAACCGTATAGCAAATCCGGAACAGGCAAAGGTATAAGAAAATATTTTTTTTAATGTAAATATTAAAAGTTATTTAAATATTTATTAATTAAGAAAGTTTGGGTGTAGCTATCATCATTTTATATTCAGAGATATTTATCTTTTTCCTCATTTATCTTATTTTAGTTATAATGAGCTTTGAAATGTAATATCTTCAGATAATTGAGTTAGTATGATTCTTTCAGGAAAATATATTTAAATATGTTTAATTACAATAATTAAATTTTTAGTAACATACTAATTTATTATAATTAAACTGTTAGAATTGTTAGAACTTTTACTTGTAAATTTAAGTGTTGCATCTTGAATATGTAGAATCATAGATCAATTAATAGTTATGTAAGTGTTTTGCTGTTTGTGAAGTTCAATAACATTACAATAATATTGTTCAACTGAATGCCTTATACAGTATATTAAAGTTAGGTGACCATATTTCAGAATCTGTAAAAGTGGTCTCTAAAACTGATTGAACTTTGGTTATTTTTTAAAATTTATCTATAAATTGGTGATATTATATTGATGCATTAATAAAACTGTTCCGTTCAAATCTCAATATATAACCAGTCAAAACACCTTAGTTTTCTAGGAATTATCACATCCACAGATGTCGTAATTACTAGCCAATCGACAACTTTATTTTACCTGCATGCATTTCGGAAATTACTATTTCCCTCCTCAGCAAGTTTTATTCCGTACGAGCTAAACGAGGCACAAACACTTTTTTGATATGCTTCCAATTTTTCGATATTTTAACAATTTTAGTTACTTTCATATTAAAATTATTTTTTACCTGTATTCCTTTGTACTTTCATTTGTTTTTTTCACATCATTTGCCAACACTCCAACAACAAGCACCTCCCCTCCTGCCCCCTTGAATAGAACCTTTGATTGTGTAATCAAATATTAAAACTAGGCAAAATGGAGACAATTCCCAGAAATAGGGGACTGTCGCCACTTTTGCCTGTTAATAGGTTTTTGTCACTTTAATAGGATGACACTATTAAAATAACAAATAAATATAATCAATAAATTTAACAAAATTTGTTGATTATATTTATTTGTACTGTTATATTATACTAGACTTCTAATACTTTCTTAAATCTTCTAAGTTACAAGATTTAATTAAGTGTAATTTGAATCTTCCAATAATTTGAAATAAAAAAATTTAATTAAAACTT